CCATCGGGGTTGGGTTTTCGTGGATCGGCAATGACGTTGTAAAACAAGCCCCCCCCTCGGTATTTGCATACGGGGTTGGGTTTTCGTTGCTTGGCAGCATGTTGTAAAACAAGCCGATTCACTTCGTGAGCTCGGCGACCAGGTTACCGCTTTTTTTTTTTTTGCCTTTGGTTTTATTTTTTGGCGGTAACCATGAATGGTGGTCGAGTAGATTATGTTGTGCGGGGTGGAGAACCCTCACTCTGCGCAAAGGGGATGATCGCACGTTGTGTTAAATTGGTCAAACACTCTCGAGGCAGTTACACAGAGCTTACAATTGTCTCTGGAAGTGAAAGCACCAGAAAATAAATTAAGTCATACGCAGCTGTCATCCGTAAGCAAGGAAGTAAGCACAAGATGCCGAACACCCTTAGCAGGATGCAGCGCACCCTTCATGCGACTCGCCGAATACCTCACGGCGCTTCGTGCTTGGTGATGTGAGAGTCTGGTCAGGTGAGAACCCGGCGTGCTCCGTCCCGGCTTTGTAGGGATGCGAGGTCAATGGTCTAACGACTACGGCATGCACGACTATGAGTACACCCCCCCCTCTAACAATCACGTCGAATGGGTAGGTGATTTCTGACATGAAGCGAAAGGTATTTCAAAAAAATATTTCCTGGCCGTCGAACACACTCTTTCGTCCTATGTACGCTGCCTGCACGCCGTCCTCCACCTTTCCCTCTTCTCGACCCCATTCAGTTACTCAACTCACCAGCTTGCCAAAGTCCGTGGGGAGAGTGAGCTCTGCGACCCGCCCTGGCCGTAACGCCTTCCGGAGAGGAAGGAACGAGACCTTGGACGGCTTTTTCACCTGACATAACCAAAACAAATCATGCAAAAGAAATGAAAAAAGAAAGGGTCCATTTGATGTTAACTGACAAGAAATGAAAATAACTGTTCTATTTTGTTGTTCTGCCTGCCGGCACGGTGGTGGTGGGTGGGTGGGTGTTTGCCGTGACAACGGGCTGGGGTTGAGAAAGGCCACGAGCTATAATGGGGCGAACACCTAGAACGGGACCAAGAACAAAAACAACAGCAGCCATAACAAAATCGACAACAACAGCAACTGTACCAACAACAACAGCAACAGCAACAGCAACAGCAACAGCAACAAGACGCCAGCAAATGGGTATACACAAATGGCAGCAACCAACGGCGCGCGACATTGAGAGACGAGCCTCCGAAGGATTTACATTGGCTCGAAAATTCATCGCCCAACCAGGAATAGATGCTGTAACAGACGGCTTGACTATGCCCTTCAAGGCCTGTGTGGCGTGGAGCAAAACCGAAGAACCCCTTCACCCTTCTTCTTCATTCATGGCTACCTCCAAGGTTTTGAGGACCTTCACACCAAAGGAACCGACCACCAAGCATGAGACAATCTCACACGGGTTTCCTATTTACACAAACTCGCAAGCTGTTTTGAGAATCTTATACTCCTGGTCTCTCTGAAGTTTGACATGTCGTGTCGCCAGCATCTCGCCAGTAAGCACCAAAACATTTCCATCCATGTGGACGCTGCCAGTGAAGAGCGACACTCCAATACCGACCAACCGCAAAAAAATTCGCCGAAGGCGACGACGAGGAGCAAGAACCGAAGGGGGTCGCGGAAGTTGCTCTCCCCCACACGGGCATCCTATCCTTTCAGAAGCAAGCTCGACGGCAGCTTAATCTCATATTCTCAAGAGGTTTGGAAGGTACAACGGAACGGAAAAGGTCCTGTTCTACCCTTCTCTGAAACCAAGTTGTATTACCCAGGGGATACCAGGGGACGATCCCCTATCACAATAAAAAAATCCTCCCAGGTAAATACCAACTCCCCGGGTTCCGTTTTCCCACGACAGCGCAAACCTCTTCAGAAATCAATCTTAACTGCCATGCTCCCCAGCCCAAACTGTTACAGGCATCTATAGTAACTGCCATGCTCCCCAGCGCGAACCGTTACAGAAATCTATAGTAACTCCCATGCTCTTCCCACACCAACAACTGCCTCGTACCTGGACGGCTCGTCCCCCGCAGGCCCTCCTCTGCGTCTCCCCTGCCGCCCAACCGCCTGCCTCCATGGAAAACTTTCTAGGGTTGATGTTCTGTCGCGTGCGGTGCCGTCGGAGGAGGAGAGGGTACATGGACGCGAGTGCAAGAATAAGGGTCCAGGGAAAAGAGGCAGCAGCGCACCACGGATCAGGCATGCAAAAGGTTGAGAGCGACCGAAAACATCCGGTACGCGAGTTCAAGGTTAACGTTGGGAGAACGAAAAGAGACAGCAGCACAGCACGTGGGTTAGGCACGTTCAATATGAGTGACCCCAACACCTCCGTTTTGCAAGCACCCAACAGAAGAAGAAAAAGTGCTTTGTTGTCGAAATCCCACAGACGATCAAACATGGCCAAACAAAAAAAACATGATACGCACAGACAAAGGATCGACGGACAGGAAGACAAAACGCCACGCGCACACGCTTGCGTACCAAAATACACCCCATCAGCATTTTTGGTTCTTCCAAACTGCAGAGACTTCATTGGTGAGCCAGTACCCAACACAACCACGCACACCACCTCGGAGCGCGATGTACGAAGTAAAACCCCCCGCGAATGAGGGGACAAGAGCACCCATAGGCGACGAAGGTATTCTCGGTGCCCTCTACAATGATACGTTTTCGGTTGTGGCCCGGAGCACCGCGACAGCCCTAAGGACCTCCAAAGTAACAGACAACTCATCATAGCCCACGAACAGGGCCTCAAACGCATTCGCAAAACAACGCACGGCAAAACGCCCGCCAACGTATGACCTCTTGCAACGCGAATGCACCCGGAGGGTCCGTCCCGCCCAGACACGGCACCGACAAACTAACCTTGACGGTAAATTCTTGTGTAGGTGTATCCAAGAGGGCTCCCTCCGCATCGCGTAGGTCTTCGAACCTGTGGGCACCGTTCCAGCGATCGATCGTGAACGGGAGGAAACGATTTGTACTACTCTGTAGGCAGTTGTTGTTCGTGGCCTATAGTGGTCTTGAGAGACACGAGGTCGTTGGGCAAGCATTGCCCTGCATCGGAGTGAAGTACAATTAGATTTTCCTGAGGGACGCGCTGCCCGACGTCGAAGTAAGGGAAAACATGACGAGACCATTGGCACCACCACAGCTGGAGATCATCGGCAGCGACGCAGACAACTTACCGCAATGAGAACAGATCCAAAACACGAAACGACACCGAAGGACACGAAGTACCAACTAGACCCCATGACCCGAAATCGGACAGGTATGTATTAGTTTGTTCTCCTGCTCCATTCCGCAATAGAGTTTTACACTCCCTCCAGGTAGAAGGTAGGCAACATTGGTTCGCCCCTCCAAAACCACACGACAGCATTACACAGATCAACCTTATCGTGGCCCCTGGCTTGGAAATCTGCCCCCCATTCCCCTCCCGAACATGCCAAACCTCTGAAAACAAGGCCGAGTGCGGGGCGGGAAAGGACGCGAGGGGGTTGAAAACCGACCTGATCGTGTCCCCTGTTTGGAAGTCGTGCCTTTCGCCGTCCACCGCTTCCACGACCCACCGCCCCCCTCCCACTCCCGCCTCTCCCTCCTCCTCTCTCACGATAGCACCCACTAGACACGCCTTCACCGGAGTGAGACCAGGGGGGGGGGGGGGCCCGACAACAACATTACGGGGGGGGGTAAAAGGGTAAGGGTCGGGTAGCGGTCGAGGCCGGAGGGGGGTTACCCGAAAACTACGGGTGCAGAAACGGCCGCAAAAATGAAGACCGAGTGAACAATGGTAAGGGGAGTCGGGAGTCAATCAGCTAGGGCAGCTTGCATACCGCAGTGATTAACATCTGTTGCTCACAACGCAGAGACAGCAGAGTACGCAGTGAGGGGAATCAGGCGACAACCGCTTGTGCCGGAAGGGGAATCGTTGCAGACGGCTGCGCGACAGACCCGCTTTAGAGTCCGAGCGAGAGCGACCAAGGACGTACAACACCAAAGGCAGCCAACTATGTACCGGCGGAGACCAGCTACCATCAGGTCTGCTCGTGTTTGGTTCCCTCATTGCCCTCCTGGCGTTCATGGGCAGCCAGGACCCTGATGATCTGTATCGAGGCTTTCACCACTACCACACATCTTCGCCAAGGGATCCACCAAGATCTGTAGTCTCTCTGTCCGTTTCATGGTACACCCCCTACGGAATGTCCCGCAATGCCTTTAAGGTGTTCCTATAGGAGGTGCTAACCTTACCAGGGCCTCCTCGCCGTCTGTGTCCTGCACGACGAAGCTGTCCCCGAAGTCACAGAACAGGGACGCGAACGCTCCCCGCGAGGACGCCGAAACAAAGGCCGTCCCCGCCCTCCGACACGCCTCGTTCGCCCGCAGCTGGAAACCCACAGTCTCGTCCACTAGCAGTACAGCCGCGTAACCCCCCGCCTCGATCGCCTCCTCGGTTAGTGGACCCTTTTGAGGGGCGGGTGCACAGAAAAGAAGACATGTGCCACGTGAGGAAGAAGCGCAGAACGGCGGCAGTGCTGTTGACGCGGACATCCTCGCATTGTTTTATAGAACGTACAGAAAGACTACCCGTTGGAGGTACAACCACAGTCGAAGGGGATGGGTTGAAGTCTTCACAGTGAATGCGAGCAAAACCAGGCTGGTTACCTGGGGCATATTTCGAGGCTACCTAAACCTATACACTGAATCCCTAAACAGTGATGCACGCTGGTGCTAAGCGCAAAACACATATATCTATTGTAGTTGGTTCCCATGGACAGACCCCCCCCCGTGTCCAAGTGCCCATCTGGTTTTCCCCTGAGAGGCATTCTAGGCGAGAATCAAGACTGGTGCTGGCTACAGTAGGTTTGCAACTGTGTACTATTGCCGCCGCTGCTGCCACTACTAAACACCCCCCCCCCGCCACCCTCCCCACCTCCACTAGCCGGACGTCAACGTAGGGGTTGAGCTCCCTGAGGTGGTCCACGCTCGCCCTCGCCCTGCCTTCCCCCCTCTCCGCTGCCTCCGGCCCCAGACAGAACTGTGACGACAGGTCTTCCAGCGTCGCCGGTCGGTCGTCGTGAAGCGTGACCGACCTCACCCCGGCAAGGACAACGTTCTTGGCCACCTCAGCACCAAGCCCGCTTTTATGGGAAAAGAGGTAGGGGCAGGAAAGGGAGGGCGAGAGGAGTTTTTGTTTTTCTTTGCCCTGCCGGGGGAGCCGGGGGAATCCTGCCTTGGTTCTTCGCAGGCGGCGGGGTGACTGTGTAGAGCCGACGCCGTTTTGTTTTAGCGAGTGCCGTGCCGCTGTTCGTGTGTTTGTAGCGCGAGGGGGGGTATTGCAACAGGACTGACTGCTTGCATTGCTTGCAGATGATATAGTCTAACGCTTGCTCGACGTTCCGCGACGGCGGCCGAACTGATTGTTAGGTTTTCATCACACGCGAGTACTTCGAAGTAACAGAGGAATGATAAGCGAACAACACAACTCTGCCTGCTGGTAAATAGATATGTTCTATGGACACGTTGTCGAAAGCGGTGGGGCCGGTATGTGCTACACCGAGCAACATCCAACATGTCATTGGCAGGGTGTGTCGTGTGTGTGGCGGCGAAGGGTTGGCAAGGGTGAAAAAGCGCAGAAGAAAACATGAGACAACCAGGGGTGTGCTGTGGCAGTTATTCTCCATGGGAGCCTGCAAGCTCTGGAAGTTGGATGTGCTGATCTTCACACGGCTCATTTCTCTCCGCACACGTGTGCTGGTGAACGATTTCTGTTGGGCCTGACTGTACTGCTGTTCAGTTCAGTACTGTAGACTGCGTAACTGCTGTTCTACGCAAGAGTACACTGCCGCCGAAATGTCTGTTCAGGCTGGCAACCTTGAGCTTCTACGGTTCAACGGGTCTGTGAGGTTTTTCAGCTCATCACTCGAAGTTACTGAGGTTGGTGTGGCTCTGTTAGACGAAATCTGCGAAGCTTTGGCGACAAGCGCGCACAAAGATCGAACACGTGGATGGCTTCCCCTTCAATGTGTACCGTCCCGGCCAGCTACATGAGCACCATCGCCACAAGAAATGAGGCCCGAATTGTTGAAACATTAACAACTCCGGCGTAAGATATTGGGTTCAGCCGGTGGCACCACACAAATCCTGAAGGGTAACAGCATGGCCATAGCCTATGCTCAACCGTTGAGACATCGTGACCCATTTTCAAAGTTACACAGCGGGAACATACAGGTGCTTTACGAGCGGGCCGGCGGCGCTGAATCTCCCGGCAGCGTTCGAATGGGTTGCTACAGTACACCGGTCGCTGCTACTGAAAGGTGTCGTCATGCTACTTACTGCCCAGATGGCTCCGTGCGTCAACAGCAGTGCTGGTGTAAGGTTACTGTTGGTAAGATCTCTCTGGTGGACATGGTGGTACTGCTGCTACTGCTGTTCCTTGCCTGCTAGACACACCGTACATACTACGTTTAGCAGAGGGAAGGGGGGAGGTTCAACAACCCTGGCTGGATACATGCGCACACCCGGATGGCCGAACGGCCACAGTCTCTCCCTTTGTTGTTGTACTGATCAGATTGCACACAACATACCTCATGCCTGATATGAGCACATCAGCTTTGCCCATCTTGGCCATGGCCGTCTTGCCCATCACGTACAGCTGCCGCGAGTACAAGTCCTCGTCTATCCCGCCGGCTCCATCTCCAGCCGCTTCGTTGCCGCTGCTGCTGCTACTCTCTCGAACCAGCTCCCCTTTCATCCCATCGTTCGTTACACCAGCGGCACTACTGGCGGGACCACTGCATCCACCTCGGAGCCCACGGCACGCGCGTGTTGGCCGGGACAAGCCTGCTGTTGGCTCTTCGGTTGACGTTGGCCGCACGAGATGCCCAGTGACAGCAGCAGCGTTCACAGACCCTGGTGGTTTTCGACTTGCTGCTACTGCGGGACTCAGGCCGTGCGCCGCCCACACGGCTGCGGCATTTGCTGTGCTGCTTTGCAAAGCAGCAACCAGTAACAAACGCCTCATGTGTGCTCTACACAGCAGCGTGGGTTCTGCGGAGAAGGATGGCTGCTGCAGCTGGTGCCGTGGCAACCCAAGCGGGTAACAGGGGGGCCAGGCCGCCAGTTTAAATGCGGGGGGGGGGTGTATCGTACGAATGTTTGATCTTCACAGTCGTTGACCCCCCCTCCGACGCCGCACAGCCCCAAGACGCCGCCGTCGGTACAGGAGTACTCTCTGGGTGTACACATCTAGTGAAGATGCCAAGTTAGCATGCATCCTCTCTGCGGGCGACACCACCAACTGACCATTTGTGTTAACATCGTACAGCTTCCTCCCAGCCGTCATCCCCGGTGACTCGCAACGAACCTCGCGTCGTATACAAATAAGACCGTAGCAGCAAGACATGTGGACGGAGCCTCCGTGTATCCCAAGAGCAGCTTGTCCCATCGGAGGTCTTGTGAGCGAGGTGTTTGAAATGTGATGGGGACTCGGATTGAATGTCATAAATTACTTATTTCTCGGGTTTCTTCGACTCTTGATACGTTGGCCTCCAGTTAGACGAGCTGGGTTCATTGGGTGCATGTACTGTATCGTTGAGAACGTTTTTTATTCCAGTGGGAACTACTGCTGTTTCTCAGCCACTCAAAGCCAGACGATGTACTCTTTCACAACGAGGCAGACCGAGCTGTACCATGAAGTATCGTGGGTCCCTTGCATCCATGTTAAGAAAACAACCGTGTTGCTGATTCTTCTTCACAGCGGCCCGCGCTACGCTGCACCCTTGCGTCTCTTTCGGTCGCGTAGACGAACGCGAGCGTTTTGCCCCACCGAGTGACTTCGACCACGAATCGGGCGAGCGAGTGAACGTAGGGCGATAACAGCGTAATAGCCCATAAGTCGACTTTCAAAGGGAAAAAAGTCATTCACATCGCCTTCGTGTCACGGAAACGCTTGCCCTTCTGCACCATGAAAAACACAGGCGGGAAGCTTCCTGCCAAGTACAGCTTTTTCAACCCCTCCAGACACCGGAATGAAAAAGTTTCGCCTCTCGAGGAGATAATCAACACTTCGCCATCTCTTTTTCCCAAGACTCCACCGCCTCTCGCCGCTGCCCAGAAAAACACGAAGATCGAGAACTCGCGGCAGCTACCAGGCGTCTGATGGCCTCCCCAACGACACCATTTGCCCTCAGCAACGAAAGGTGCTCCCCCGCAGCCGTGTCGCGATTATTGGCACAACCTCCGCGATACGCCACGGTGTCCGAGATAACGCCGAAGAATATCTCCTCGTTCTCTTGACCAAGCTTGGCGCACAGGAGGTCCGTGAGCAAGCCGCAAGCGCGCGGGAACTTCTTGCTTCCGGTACGGCTCCCTTGAAGATGAGGCCGAAGCTTCCCGAGGGCCAACGAAACATCCACCGCCGCCCCCTTAGCACCTCGACCCGCCGGGCTAGTCCCGACAGCTCCAACCTCTGTTGCCGGGCCTCCTCCTGCCGTTTGCCCAGCACTCGTCTTTGGTGCTAGCTCTGGTCTGACGGTAGCCTTCTTCATGTCGACGGGAGCGGACCCCGGGTCCCCTCGGTCTTCCGTTGACGCTGCCAGTAGCGTCGCTGCACTACCCTTGCCCGAGGAAGCGTTAGGATATGACAGTTTGACATCTTCGGCCACCCCTTTTCCTTCGTGGCGGGTCTCGACACTGGCAGGTGGTTTTTCTTCCGGCGGGGGCACATCCGCGTACAGATCAAACATTGCTGCCGCGGGCATCAACCCCCTGCCACCGCCAGCAGCAGACCCTGACAGCAGTGAACCAGAACCACTCCTAGGCCGCTTCTTCGCATCTGACGCGGTAACCCCGGCTGTACTGCCCACATCTCCTCCCGCGGCAGAACCGCGTTGATGTGTCGAACTGGTCGCGGATGCGTCCAGCGTCCTCTTGCCAGCCGCGCCGCCGAGCACCATACCGTTCGCTACCGCTGTCGTTGCCTTGGCGGGGTGGTGGTGGTGGTGGTGATGAGCTTGGTTTTGTTTCATCCAGTCGAAGGGAACATCGGCCGAGAAGCCTCGGCGCCGGAGGCCGTCCGTGAAAATGAGCTCGGCGCGCGAGTAGTCTGCCGGCTCTCCTGGCTCGAGACCTCTCACGTACGTTAGGTACTCGGCGAGGGCCGGAAGACCTCTGCACAAGGTTTCCGCCGTCTGGGGGCGTACGTTGTGTCCGGGGACGGACGGTGCGAGAGAGACGGCCGAGAAAAGGCAAACAAATCGCGGGGTGGGGGTTACAGAACGATTCACAACACACCGCAAGGGTTGCTCTGTGATCCATGTTGTGCGAACTATGATGGCGCTTGGGCGTGTCTCGTTTCAATTGACAAGACAGAGGCATCGAGACCACTGAACCGGCGAGGAAATCCCACATAAAATTTCGACCGCAAGTCGTGTGATAACACGGTTTCCCCAAGGTCCCGTCGCTATGTGCGAGTTCGTACTTGCGGTGTGCTCTGGAAGTATGACCGCTTGAACGCTAAATAACAATACGATGGAACGCTATCTCGCGGCTCACCTCTTCGGTTTTGGACTGTCGGATCTTTTCCATGTGCGCTTCTCTCGTCTTGGCTGTCAGACCTTGCCACGGAAGTTTTCCCTGCGGCAGGCGACAAGAGCGGTCGCGTGTATAAGAATGGACGCGGGGAACGTAGAGAGATGTGCATGCACTTTCAATATTCGGGCAAGTTCATGCCCTCGCAAGGTCGGCAGAGGAAACCTCACCTTCCAACAAACAGACAGTACACTCAGAAAAGATCAAGATACACGTCACACAGGGAAATGTGTTTGGGAGGTCTGCTTGAACGTGTGTTTACTACTGTCATTATGAGCCCATGCCGACCATTACGCACGGGCAGCGTCTTTGTCTGAGACCGAACGCCCAACTACCCACCGTCTGTGACAATCAATACGCGCCACGCCAAGCTCAAAGACCAACACGTCATGCCAGCAACAGGGGGCGGCAATTATCCGCCATGCTGCACAGCCCTACCAGTGCAGAAGCGTACTACCTCCCTCCCCGCGCGCCAACTTACCCGCCCACACACTCCTTTACATGCAATTAATGAATCAATGAATACATTTCCCCGGGACCCTGTCGATATGTCGTGCTGTGAGCGTTTGGCACTCACCCGAACGAGGTAGATCAAGACGTATGCCAGGCTTTCGAGGTCGCACCGTCGAGTCTGGCGCCCCCTCGAATGTGCCGCCACGCTGAGGTATCTCACGCTGCCGACGAGACCCGTGGTCTGTCCGCTTGGTGGTGGCGGCGGAGGTGGTTTCGTCCCTCGTGCCTCCAACGCCGCCGCCACCACCGATGCCTGACTAGCATTTGAAGACGACATTGGGCCACCGCCGCCGTCACCCTTGTCTGTGGCCGCTTGAGAGTCTACCATTCTGGCTCCTCCTTGTTCATCCGCTCGCCCTGACACAGCTCCTGATGCTTTCGTCTCGCCCGCTCCAGCTGACAAGTTGAAGTCCACCCCAGGACATGTCGCCGGACGTCCATCTTTCTCTGTTCTCTTATGAGGGGAAGGGGGAATTGAGTCTCCGGGCGAGTCGGCACCAGCGTCCATGACACCCTTCACTCTAGTCGAGCCTATCGACGGCTTGGAGGCCACCGCTTTTGCTGATGCCCCGGTCGGTGTTACAGGCGTAGGGTCCACTTTACCAACGTCGACCCACACGGTCGTCGCTACTGCTGCAGCACCCGAGCTCGGCGTTGAAATCGTTTTTTTTTCTGCCCCTGCTGCTGCAACAGCCTCGCCGTCCCCGGCAAGGCACGCAAGACCATAATCTATCAAGTAAATACGATCGCCATGCTTCCCAGGGCCCTGCAGCGGGCCAAAAAACAAGCATCGTATTGGGGCGGCCAGCAGCGACACAACACACGGTAGAAGCATAGACCGGGTGGGCACGTGGCAAGCTGTGCATACGAATTTACGGCCCTTGAGACACGATATTGAAACAACAGCATCCCCGACAACTCGGTTCTGCACATGCTGTGCGACAATCCTGTACGAAACACTGAACCTGATGTACATCCACGTGTTCGCGAAAAAAATGGCTGCAATTCCGAGAGGGTAAGAATCAGGATCGGGGGTTGCGGTGAACGACGGCAATGACAGCAGATGCAGTGGAAAAAGAAAATTGCGTCCCCGAACATTTCAATAACGCGCTCATGATTTCGTGAGTCTACCGATGGTCCGGTCCTCACCACACAAAAGTTCTCTGGTTTGATGTCACGGTGCACGTATCCCGTGCTATGTAGCATCCGGAGGAGGCCCACCATCTGCGCACCCAGGCGCAAGGTCGTTTCGAGCGAGAAGTGCCCGCCGCGGCAACCCTGCATGTCACGCGAGGTCGACAAGGCGCAGAGGGGCGCTTTCACGCGACTGCAGACAGGCAAAAACACAAATGACATCCGTGTTCGAGGAACATCCTCCGTGTACTACAGCATACACGGGCAGGTCCCGAGCACAACGGCCTCCGCACGGCTGCATAGACATATTTTGGTTCTGGTGATTCGGTAAACATTTGATGCTGTGTGCAACAAAGTCAGCCCACCGTGGGCGTGATAATACCAAGCAGCGCTTGCTTGATTCAAGTATTGTCTACAATTACTCGTCGAGGCATACAACTGCACCGTTCGTTAGGAGAAATGACTTGCGGGCTGAGCTTCGATCCACTGGTTCTCGCCAAGAGCATGCGGAATCAATTTTTTTCACGAGCGCAACAGGCTCATCGCTATTGCCGTTCAACTTTCTACCCGTGTACGCCTTGGAAAGGCAACCCCCACCAACATCAAACTACATCTAGCGCCCGTTACTCCGCCGCCAGAAAGCAGCAAAACAGGCCCCCACCAACATCAAACTACATCTAGCGCCCGTTACTCCGCCGCCAAAAAGCAGCAAAACAGGGCTTTATTCCGAGTTCATTGCCCTGCATCTTCCAAGCAGAATGATATTGCTGGACCAGAGCCGAACCATGAATTCTTCCCCCTCGCCGCGTCACACCAAGCACATGCGACCATCTACCACATCCATCATCACCCCTACCTGGGATAAAGACATCAGATTATCCCCCAGTCGCTCCATCGCCAAAACGTTAACCGCGCATCCTGCCTCCAGAGCGCTGTCCACTAAAACGTCGTGAACCCCGCCGCCACCGCCTCCACCACTACCAACACCTCCCGCTGCGCCGTCGCCGACATCGTATTGGGACGAAGAGGCTAGATGGGGTGGGAGCTGGGGCATTGTGGACGTAAAAAACTCGGCTTGTGGGAATCCTCCCGTAGCACGCGGCGGGAGGGGTTCGGTAGAGCCTTCCGTGGCGAGGCGCTGCTTCTCGAGCGCTCTGTAGACCTGCCGTGCGTGTAGTTCGTGCGGGTGGAAGTGACGGCATTGGGTGACTTGGCAAGCATCCCCACGAAGAGTACAACGTACTGGATATTGTAGCGCAGCATCACGACAGTCACGGAAAACGACTCTTAATCGAGCTTGCACATCTTAGCGTGGAAGTCTGGTGAATCTTTTACGTGTAAGGCGAGAGCTCAAGGTCCCACACAGGAGATGGCATAGGGTTGTCAAAGGAGGGTGTGGCCTGGACCTCAAGCCATGGTGGGGTGTATCCTCCCTAAGACGGGCCGTGTGTGGGTAGGGTATCGTGCTGGCCTCTTCGTGGAGCATCCAGACGTGTTCTATCCTGCAGTGGTCGGTCGAGCAGAGTGCGTGCCCTCTTTCGGCCGTCGCTCAAAACACAGGTAACACCGCTGTCCGAATGTTTAATAGCTCCAAGGATGAATATGCCTTAACTAGTTTCGGCTCCAGCGTTCTCGACCGCCGGCCCTTCGTCAGCCCGTAGTGAAGCGGGCGGCTTGTGAAACTTTGATTGGGTTAGTTCATGGTTCAGCGTGGTCATCGCTAGTAGGCCAATCAACTTCAAGTTCGCCGTTACAGCAGTACAACTGTGACGGCCGCGTCATGCTACACTTTGATGGGAGCACACGTAGCTTGCAGTTGCCATTGGAGTCGTATAGCATGGATTGAGCCCCGGCCGTTGGGACGAGGGTACTCCTACTGTAGAGGTGGATATGGAGGAGGGCGGGAGTCAGGAAGGGCCACAGCAGCCGATGTTGGCCACACCGCGCATCGTCAAGGCCGCGTGATTGTGTGTCGTGTTCTTGGTAAGAAATAAGTGTTGCTGTAGAACTACATAGACAAACCCAATTTCGAATTAGGTAACTCGGGCTCGTTCTTCGCTCCAAAACAAGAGTACATATGATAGCCTCGACCCGACTTCCTGAACTATGGGCCCGCTGCCGTGTGAGCATATCCACAGCAGTACATTTGCCCGGGAATCTTGCACGACACAGTATCTTGTGCGATTGGGGTGATTCGCAAATTCGCAAATTACCATGACTCCGGAGCAAATAGTATTCTGCTCGATGCTGCAAGCATTGTAGAACCAGGATTGCGCGGGTTATGTCCTTCAGATGTTGTCCCCGGATAATCTTCTACGACGTTGGAATAACGGGCGGATAACCCTTGCGCCAGCATCTACTGTATCTGTGTATGTATTGCAGAGTAGACTGTAGACTGCATGGATGTGCAGTCTACGAGCAGTCGTCGACTATTTAGGTTTCCCCGCGCGAAAAACTCACCGCCCACTCGGTCTGCATCTGGCGCTTCGGCGCAGCACATTCCTCCACCTTCAACACAACACCTCTTCCTGCGCTCCCGATACCAGCCGCACTCTTCTTATCTTCATCTTCAGCCTGAAGCGTAGTAACAGCCGAATATAGATACCCAGTAGCACCTTTCCTCATGGTCCCGATGATGCGGTACTCGCCGCATATTGCTTTCGCAACTGCTGTTTGGATTGGGACTCCCAATTTCTTCCCTGTGGGCTTTGCATGCTGAGATGCTGCGCTTGTTGTTCCAGATAGTGTCGCAGCTTGCTTTTTCCTCTGCTGCTGCTGCTGCTGGCGAGGAACCTTAGCGGATTCATCCAGGCTAGCATTGCCCAACACGCCCCACATGTTCTGCTGCCGCGTCTCGCTTCCTTCGGCGGTGACAGCCATAACAAACAGGAAGGACGGGGGCCCTCCTGATGTTGTGAGCGCATACATCATGAAGTGGAGGTATTCAGTTATTGAAGCCCCCTTCTTGCGGTACCAACGGTACCACACCGCACCGGTCCTTGCGGTACCACGGCGTGTTCACTCACTTCCTGCTCCCCCTCCATCTTCCCTCGTCACGCGCGAAGGCACCTCGGCAGTAGAACACACTGCCAAAGCACAGGTCAGCGTAACATGCAGAGGTCCTGGTCTATACTCTCTCTCTGCTGCTGTATGTAGCGTACCCCTAGGACACGCTTTCTCCGAACCTCTCGCATTCACTGCTGTGCTGTGCAGGGCAGCTTGTAAGGGGTATTATTTACGGAAGCCAATTTCTTCGTTTTACAACCCCGGGGCGCACACAGAAAAGTGAAAGCGACACCTCACCCCTACAGAGGTCGAATACAATTAAAATCAGTGGTGTCGTGTACGTAATTGCGAGCAACGTTAAAAAAAGAACATTTTTTTACTTGGTTTTAGTGTACCCCGCCCCCCCCTCAGCGTCTCTGGGGGGTTAGACTAGACCCCGATTAGACCCCGATTTATGGGAATAAAATCTTGTCGATAAATCGTGATCTTGGCCAAGATCTGCCAGTTTCACGATTTATGGGAGCGAAATCTTCCGATATATCTTGGCCAAGATTTCTCGAAGCCCGAAATCTGCCCTTTCGAGCAAATCTTGGCCCAAGATCTGTCGAAACGAGCCTTCCGACAAATCTTGAGGCGGCGTAACACATCTTGCCTGGGTGCGGCGCGATCACCGAAGGTCAGTCAACCTAATCGTCCATAACGCCATGAAATCTGCACGTGGCACACTCGCAAGGGTCTCAAGCGCACCCTAGCGTCACTGTGTCGGTGCCACGGGCACCGACAGCGAACGAAAACGACCAAGGCGCGCAAAAAAATGCGTATTTGCCCTGGCTCGTTCCACGTGCGTCATCACCAGTCTGTCGAGGGACCGTTCAAAGAGTACTCTATTTTGAAGTAGAAAAATAGAGGAGGAGAAACGTTTTGCCAACACAGCTCTGTCGTGTGCGACGCTTCTATCTCTTCATCGAATCACCCCACACCCAATCGTTTGGACCCGAGCCAGATCCGTGAGTGTAGATGACAGCGCCGGAGGTTTGACCTCGGTACGCCTGCTACATAGTGAGATACGTGCACGGGTGTAATCGGCTTCGGGTTGGTGCACTTTGTTGTCAGTTGGACAGCATGGAACAATTTTGTTTCTCCGCTTGATATGAGCTCGTGGGCAACGGCTTCTATTTTGCACCCCAGGTGGGGAGGCAATGCAGCTGGGGGAGGGACGCCCCTTCTACAACTGCGTCATGCTCACTTTTCGCCACACCGTGGACATTTTCTGTGAACCAGTGGCCGTTGCGCCTTTATCAACTTCAAGCAGAAGAGAGGAACAACACGCCACTTTTTCAACATTCAACTTATTTCCCCCATAAATCGCGATACTGCAAATCTTGGTGGAGATATATTGTGAGCAAATCTTGGGTCAAAGTGCCAAGATATATTTGCAAGATTCTGTTTCCATAAAGAAGGATCTTAGGTGTCGAGGAAGCTTGTTCTTGTGCGCAGTTAGTTACAAGAGGTTATATCACAATTGTAAGAAGCGGGGTTCAACAGCTGCTTTTTAGAAAGTAAGCATAACCTCACAGAAAGATTACCCGTTCGAGATATAACCTCAGTCGAAAGGGATGTGGTGAACTCTTTTCAGTAAGTGGATTGAAACCAACTGGAGACTGGGCTTATTTTGAGTTTGTTTGTGTAAGCTTTACAGGTGAGTTATCAGTGATGCCAGTTGGTGCTAAGAACAAAAGCAAATGTGTAGGCGGATACATTCTTAACACATCCCCCGTAGTTTTCTACTGGGTCGACGACAGAACTATCGGGGAGAAGCTCTCCGTTGTGTCATGTGTTATATGTATAGAATGTGGCGCTGCTTTTGATACGACCTGGTACGTCGAGGATACATGCACCCAGCACTTGCTTTCAGTTTGCGGAGCCCCTTCTTGGCGGCTGGTGCGCGGGGTGGGGGTGTCATGCTGGTCACACACCATCTTCTTGCTGTCCATCTTCTTGAACACATCCCCCGTAGTTTTCTACTGGGTCGACGACAGAACTATCGGGGAGAAGCTCTCCGTTATGTCACGTGTTATATGTATAGAATGTGGCGCTGCTTTTGATACGACCTGGTACGTCGAGGATACATGCACCCAGCACTTGCTTTCAGTTTGCGGAGCCCCTTTTTGGCGGCTGGTGCGCGGGGTGGGGGTGTCATGCTGGGCACACACCATCTTCTTGCTGTCCATCTTCTTGCTGTGGTCACGCGCTAGCGTACGTCGGCGTTAGAGCACACGGCCAAACCACAGGTCGGTGTAACCTGCAGTTTTTTTCGTTATTATCTCTTGCTACATGTATGTGTAGAAGGTACATGCAGTCTCGTGGAGCTTGTTGTGTACGTACACACCAGTATGCCGGACGGAGTCTTCTGTAACTTGTAGACTGGAAGAAGTGAACAAATTTGCGCAAGGCCCAAAATCACCTTCCGAGACTTCGTGTACAGTAGTTTCGTCTACGGCGCAACATAACGCGAGACACAGAGTAGCCACAAGGCAGAACGCTGCCTATATACCGATCGAAGCACTGTTGCACAACCTACATCCATCCGCATCAGTTACTCTTCGTTCGCGGCGTTCCCTCGGCACGGCACTACTGCTGTTTAATCTGATCTGTGCATGTCCGGCAAAATGGCCGATCTCCCATTCATTCAAATTTGGGCAGGGGGTGCACCTTAGTATGAGCGCGAGGTACGCCAAGCGAAAGCGCCTGGAAGGGCTTGCAGGCGACATCTTCGGAATGATGGCCGAACGAGCAACATGGAGTCAGTGGACCGAATGGCTCCGGGTTCCGCTGCAGTACGCTGCCGCCAGCGGCAATCAAGATGTTGTCCATGGCCTGCTAATGGGCGGGGCGAGGGCAAATACGATTGATGATGAGGGATGCACTCCGCTGCACTTCGCTGCGAGGTCTGGAAGGGAGGAGGTGGTGAGTACCCTCTTGGCCAGTGGGGCAAAAGAGAATGGTCTTGACGGCGATGATGGCAATTCGGCCCTAATACTTGCGGCACAGGAAGGCTACCTGACCGTTGTGGATGCTCTTTTGGCCGCCAATGCCGACCCAAACATTCGCAACTCTGAAGGATACTCGGCGCTGGATAAGGCCACTGCGGAGGGTCACGTTGGCATTCTGAAAGCCATCCTCGCGCATGGAGCGGATGTGAACGCTATCGACGAAAAGGATGGCATGTCAGCGTTGCACCACGCAGCTGCAAGTGGTCAAGCGAGGGTTATCGATGAACTCCTCGAAGCAGGGAGTGACATCGAAATGATAACCACTACTGACGGGTACACGCCTCTGTGCTCTGCCGCGGAGGAGAGCCAAAGCAACACCATTATTACCCTGATGGAGCACGGAGCTAACGCTGAGGTGCGTGATGCCCGCGGGCGTACGCTACTGCACTTGGTTTGCCGTGGACAGCGTGGTGGCCTGGAGGAGGCCATCGAACTTTTGCTGCGACGAGGGGCGGATGAACAGGCCGTGTGTAACCGTGGTCGGACTCCCACTGACTATCTCCGTACGCCGTATTCCGGGGACTGTTTTCAAGATGACATCGATCGCGCTCAGCTGCTACTGGCGCGGGCTCCGGCAGACAGGGCTTGGCGTCGCCGGTGCTGGCTCGTCATGCTTCGATCGCGCACTTCGATGGCGGGGAGAGCCAACTGCGAAACACGCGATGAGGGCGGCGCTGGTTCAAATACTGCTGGAGGAGACGGTCGAGACGGGAAAAGTGGGAAGGTGGCAAAGGGTAAACGATCGAAGGGGGCTGGGCACGGCGAGCCTGAGGCGGCGAGTGGCGGCTGGAATGGGACTGAAATCGATGACGAGAACCCGGGCTTGAAGGGACTGGTGGCGTTGCTAGTAGGCCTTGAGCCGGAAGGCGTGTTTCGCACGGTCCTGGGCTTCGTCTGAGGACGACCAAAAAATCTGGAAGTGGTTTGGTGAGTTCGATCACGCGTGTGGTTACTGAGACATCATTTGAACATCGGAAACTTTCCCGACCGCGTCAAGACCTTTTGGCTTGGCTTGTTCCGCGATGGCACTATCAGAGGTACGCCGGATGTGATGTACCAGTGTCCATGTGAGACACCACCGAAGTTGGTGGGCTAATGGCGAACCCAAGTAGTGCTTTGGCATCAATCGATGCACATAAACTCATACCACAACGTCCAACCCGCGTCTTGGATGTTGTACATCCTGCATAGGTGAGGAGCCCGGGTGAATTCGTCCCCGTCGTGGGAATAAGGCACAGTCGTACCCTCTTGGGATGTTATCCGATATTTGAGATACTGAAAGTATTTCGTCGACACCAACCCAATGGCGGATGCAGAGCAGGGGTACCTGCGAAACCACAAAACTTTCGTAATGTAGAGCTGTTCGGGAGATTGTGGGTGACGTAGAACTCTTGAACGAGCCGAAAGCGGGGGCGGTAAGGCGAGAAGCTGTAAACAAATGGCCATCAAGTAAGTATTGACTGGCGCGTAGAGCATGCGTACTCTTTGGTGCTGCTGTGGATCATGAATGCACCCGTTTCCATCCAGCGCTCAGCGCACGTCCGGATACACATTCGGCCGATACACCAGATCATGGGGTTTTCCGTATGAATCTGCTCTTGCTGGCAGTTCATACAACTACCGAGTCACGTGGATATTTTGTTGTTATTGTTGGCAGGCCATATGGGCGCGTCGGTCCACTTCGGGCTAAACCTGAAGCCGCCGTTCAACACCAGAGGCGGAGCGGAACCCTGCTCGTTTGGAGATGATTCTCTCCGCTGAGTTGTTATTCTTCTCTAGACCATGATGAAACCACGATGGGCTACTGTATCCTGGGATCATTTCCATATTTTGCTAAGCACGCTCGCCGCCGGCTGCGAATCACAATGCTTCGGACCTGTGTCATCAGGTTTAATTCTGCTACAGAAGAACGGGTGTCGTTGTACGTTACAGGGTAGATCTCCAAGCGTACCTAGACGGCCAGCGTCAGCGACTTTGCGAGGGAGAGTTCGCCTTTGTTTGATATGCCCCAAATATGTTTCCTTTGCGAAGAGTGAGAATGAGCACGAGTAGCCTACGCGTGTTTCCTTGCTGTAACTTGCGACGGAGCTCTCTCGGCGCGTGCATCGATCAGCGTGTTGGCTCCGGCAATATTTTGGGCATGGTCTACCAATGCTTCATTTTTTCGCTGAATCAGCGTTACTTGCTCTGAGGTTTGTTGTCAAATTGCAACACGTACACTAACCCGAACCTAATTTGGTATCTTGAAGGCAAAGCACTGTTTTGAGACCATGTATGCACTCCGAAGAGGATCTGCCCAAACCACGTAAGACTGCAACGGTTGGTTCCGGTCTCAGCAGCCTGCGCGCATGGTCTAAACAGGATTTCCGAGAAACGCGTGTGCAGCTACCCGCACTGCTGCCTTACCCGGCATCCTCTCCGCCGCTGTTTCAGTTGCGTGTGCCACCGCGCAACGCACGAGAACAAATGATAAGAAGTGAACACGCCAACGAGGCTTCTCGCATTGTTCCAACCTGCAAGGATACTTGATAATATTCCTTTGAGAAAAATGGGGGTCTCATGACTTGATCGGGTTAACGTTGTTGAAAATACGAAGTCGTTTTTTGCCCGTAGCGGCATGCCTGGCACAAAACAACCTCAGTCCCAGCCAAGTCGCTCTGTTCTTGTGTTCGCAGCGGTCACTACCTCGCGACGGACACTAGGGTTCCAAACGTGTGCAGCGGAACGGGTAGTTGCGCATGACATTCGTGGCTGACCAACGTGAACCACCAGAGGATATTCCCAAGAAAAATACAATCGCAGCCTACTTTGTCAATTGTCAAAGTTGCGCACCAGGCCAGCTATGCAACCGAGTTAGGATATATCCTGACGTCTCGCGATGGGTGCATCGTACCGCTCTACTACAGTTGTCCACAGCAACATTCTTTTGACACTTAATTATGTCCCTACAACGGCTACGCAAGCCCTAGTGTAGCTACACGTCGATACTACGTTGTCGGTACATGCTTTCAGTCACCCTTTTTTGAGCAAACGAAAGCTTGAGGGCTTGGTAAACAGAGCCACCGAACGCATCAGGCGAAACGGGACGGAGTCATGTGCACCAGGCTAGTGGCCCATCCCCTAGGAAGGTACGAAGTAAGCGCAGCGCCCCGGAAAGCACCGAACGAATTCTCACCCAAAGCACGAAAAACAACCCGATCGCAACAGCGACCGTATCAGACACCCAGGGACATGAGATTCGGTACTGCACCATGCGTACAGGGGAACTTATTACGAAAGAGCCGCAGCTAAGGAGTGGCAATATGGTGATGCACTTGAGCGCGACCACGTCGAACCACCTCAACTCGGCGACGAAGGCTCAGACGCGCTTTGACTCTTTGCCCAACCCGGGATGTCGTCGGAGCTCAGCCACTCCAGCTCTTCTGGGGTGGACTCACGTCCGAGTGCGGCGTTGCGGTGGGGAAACCTGTTATTTTTGGTCAGGTACCACGGGAACATACAAAATTACCGAAGAGATCGGGTGTTCGTTACGAAGGATGTGGGGGCACCTCCCGCAGCATCCATACTACGCAACACTGTCTAGCCATCGATGGCGAAAAAGTCTCAGCGCCTCATGTTCTCTTGATTGCCCGCACAAAACCCAAACGTGGTGAACCCAGAGGAAACTGTGAACTTTCCTAACGTAGACACGAGAACGTGGCGTATCTCGGCAACGATTTCTGAGGTCCGCAAGTCTGTCAGTGTGGTAGCTGATTTGTGCTCATTGGATGGTGCGGGAAGAGCATAAACTCGCGTCTGTTTCCTATCTCCATCGGACGAGACGCAAAAACTCAACAGGATTGAAGAATGAAAGCGTTTTTTCGAAGTGAGGTTTCGCTCTAGTAGGCAACTGACAAGTGTTTTTTTTCTTCTCTCTGATTCCGCTTTCCATACTCCAGTCACACTTAGCTGTACAAGTAATAAGCGCGTAGCCTTTGCATGGAAGATGGGGTCACAACTGTTTGTAGTCCCTAGCTGTTTAGGTGCATAGCAATCAATAGCAAGTTTTGATTTCGAGATAAATATCATACTACTCGCAAAATGAATTGGCCACAACACACGCGATGAAGAATAACCATCGGACAAGATGATCGGGCTGTTCACGCTCGAGTTTTACATTCACAAAAGCGAATGCCCTACCGCTTGAACGGCTGTACCTTCCGAACTTGGCTACGACTCCGCGGTGTTCCAGTGCCATATCATGAACCAAGGAATTGGCGCTACCGGTGGCCTTCATCTCGTCGTCCACCAGGGCCTTGACCTTGGACACGCCCGCGTCCTGTAGTCGCATCAATATTCAAATGATACAAAATTCGTGAGGAAAAACTGTTGTCAAGACCCGTTGTACGGTGGAAGTCCAGAACGTTATTCTGTGAATCGAACGAAACTTGAGAAGCTTGAACGGTTGGCAATCGACGGGTTTAGTCTTGGACTGATCGACGAACATGCTGACACCTGACGCCTCTTGTATAACCCCCACGCGAAGGATGTGATCTGAACAGCTTGGCTATTTCCATTGTGAACATATCAAGAGAGACGACAATCTTGGGGTCTTTATGTCCGAGGAGGTATTGGAATGAAACAACAGCAGTACACGCACTGCACCCACAATGAAATCGCGAGATTTTCACTCACAATATTGGTGAAGCATTCCAGAATGAAACGTATGTCAACCACACGGCAACAGGCTCTACCGCGCGAAGATGCGGTTGGTTGGTGTACACGCGGAACTCAAACGAAGAAGCGTTTATTCGTGCGCGAGGGGCTATGTAGGCCCAACGAACGGAGGTTAATATACAGACACCAGTTATGACGCCCAAATCCAAATAATGGCAAAGCGTTGAACGAACGGTAGATAGCATACCTCTTGGTGAACAACATGAATCGGAGCGATTCCGACCCGAGACACGCAATATTAATATTTATGTTGAAACAACTCGGAACTCAGACAAATCAACAAGGAAAAGGGATTGTTGTCACCTGAGCCTCAATCCTCTCCGAGTGCATGAGGGGGAGATACACGAACAACCGCTGCTGAAAGGTGTAGTTTTGGGCATCCACGGTGTCCCAGCCCTTGGATATTATCTCGAGCGACAAAGATGCGGCCGTCTCGTCATTTGCGAACGCTTGTGACGTGCCCCTACAACGGAAACGGGGGGAGCATGTTAGTCGAGTAGAGTCGCACCGTCGAAGAGGGAAGGCGAAGAAGATAAGACATGCTGGTCTCGGCCCTCGAATTCCATCAGTGCTGGAATACAGCAGTGCCTTGATCCTTTTCCGGCCCATGAACGATTGTGCGAAGCGCGACGTGAAGCGTTGAGACGAGGGCTACACGTACTCACCGGTAGACTGTGCGAGGGAACTGGTCGAGCAGCAGAAGCCTGGCGAGAGCCCCTTTAGAAGTTTCCCACTCTTCTCCTTTCAGCTCGCCGCTGCAGGAAAATCGTGCACACACCACATACACAAGAGAAACGTGGCGGTCATTGGGGATGGATAGGAACCGGACACACCACTCGAGGTCTATCTACACAATGTGCGTCCTGCGTATGCATACTTGCAGAGGAATTGTGGCAAACCACGAGCACAAGGCGACTATTTCGTGGCGAACAAGCCACCACCGCCCAAGCCAAGGCGTTTCGTGACCTCGCACCCATCTCCGGGGACGCCATCTCGGTCTGACCTAAACGGTTTGTGGCCCATAGCCGGCGGAGATATCATGCAAGAAATACCTGCGCTCCACCCCAACTTCACTGTTCCCCTTCGGCTACAAGATACACAACGCTTCAAAGGCATCGACCCCACATGGAAAAAAACAACGCGTCTCTCCTCGGCTGACACTTTACCCCCGTTCAGCCCTCTTCTGCGCGCGTCGACAACGCCCGTACTACTGTAGTACACGGAATACCTTCCCGCCTTCGCCACGAGCTCCTTGGAGGCATTTTGGGTGCCGATGAAGGCCTGGTCTGGTGGGCCGGCGCCGAACCACTTTGCGCCGAAACTCTGGCCGTACTCCTTGTCCGACGCCAGGCGAGCCAAGTCGGTGCCGAACCAGAAATCCACCACCTTGTCAAATCGCGACAAAACAAAGGGGAAGATGAGCAAAATCATGTCGGGCTGAAAATAAACGGACTCAGAGACAGAAAAGGCACAACGCATGAAGGCGTGGGAAGATAAAATTCAACGAAACTGTTCCCAGGAATCCCTCACGGTGTCTAGAGGGCGTCCACAGGCGATGCGTTTCGACTTTTAAAGCGTAAACTTGAGTGTCCAAGTGCAATTTACAAAGGAGGGGAGTTTCTGCAAACTACGCAGTCAAGAATGCCCGCCTTCTGGATGTTGCCCAACATCTTTTTCATTTCGTTCACCACGTGTCAGCGTGTCATACTACACGCGAACAACCGTTACCATCACCAATCACTAATCTGCAACCGACACGAGGTCTTGACAAGCGAATTTTAGATTTTGAACAAGCCGACAATATCTCAAGCCGAAGTTATCCGCAGACCAGAGGCCTCTCTTTCCAATCGGAGCCCTACCTGGTGTGTCTTCGTCCAGAGCATACGATAGTTTTCGAAAGTACAACGACGCTTCGGTTGTGGAACCGCACTTTTCAAGCCGCCATCAACGCAACCCCGTAGCATTGAAATTATATGGCCGTGGGATACGTGTTCCCTGTACAAGTCTATTCCAGGGAAACAATTCGCGCGCGTGAAAATACGCCGGCACTACTTGGAAACGCGTGAATGTTACTATGCAGTACGGAAGGGCATTTTTCTTGCTACTCACGTCTTGCGCGGTCTTGAGGTTCAAGATCTCCCCCAAACCCGCTCCCTCTCCGGTAGCCATGCCCCTGCTGACCTTGGAGACTGTGCGTCCCCTGTGTGGAGCAAACCAAGTCCTCGTTTGTGGTCGATTCCATATGTACAATATTGGGTAGTTGACCGCCGGCATCTCGTCGAGCAAAACATAACATGAGAGGTTCCTAACCCTCACGCTCCATCTTCTGTTACATGTAATTATCCCACATACATCCCACATGCAGCAGTCATACAATATTCTTTTATTTTATCCTGAATCGAGTGGAACATGGCGCAAACCCGGTATAATGAGCACCTGTAGGCTACATCTCCAGGTCTTCACCAGACTTCGACGAGGGTTCTGTTCACTGGAGCCAAAAAGCGTGCATTTATGCATTTATTCTCCTGCGTGAGTGATTCGCCCGCGGGGACATTTGTTGGACCGCGTTCGCGTTCGGGCTCCATTGACCCTTTCCGTTGCAAGAAACAGACATCTACTGCTGTAGGGGCGCGGGAGGGCTCTTCCCCCGGGCAGTCGTCCATTGTCCGCCCATGAAAAATCTTGAACCGCATATCTCGCTACCCAATCTCGCCCAACGCCACCCGGTTGCGTCTGTCCTCGGCCCTCTTAAGCCTTGCGGGAAAATAGCTGGCGACGAAATGTCTTGCACGCAAAGTATATCCAGCATGACAGCAGAGTGTAATTTGGGGGCTTCCTCTCAATGTTGCATCACACTATATGCCATACTGCCAAAAAGGTGAACCAAGGGTCAACCTTTGGGTCTTTCTCGTCGGCGTATCCTGGGCTACTATCTAGATTGGCCTTTAAATCACTCCAATTTCTTTGGATGTCTGCACGACGCTCAACCTGCTGTACATAAATGTAAAATGTGCGGTTCGTGCGGGGGATATCATGATTTTTGTCCCGCACAGCGAACTGGAAGAGCCCCACTACTGACTACTGACTACGAGACCCTGGAGAAAGTTACTCTACGACGTTGGACAGCGTCCATCACACTAGCGCAGTCTCTGGACGACTGGGATCTCTTGGCTTCAACCTTAACTGGTTTCGTTTCCACCTGCAGATGCTCTCCGCTTGTGTGTTTGTAGCGTACCGCACACACGAAGTCCGCAACGGCAAGATTTTCAGAATGCGGTGCAAAAATCTGCTCTCCTCCACGCGCCAGTATGAGTTACGACCTGTGCAATCGCAATTTCCCTATCGATCACAGTTCACCATGTCAGGTATCAGCGGATTGGCACAAATCGCGTCTGCAGGTGTCAGACGCGTTGAACGCTCCGGAACAGGTGCTTTATTTGCTCTCACGTGCTAGATCTCGACAGCGGTTCCGAACCGTGAAGAAAGGCACCGAGCTGCTGTCGGCGGGGGCTTACTGAGAGATGTCGCACGCCACCACCAGCTCCGGAAGTCAACGTGAAACTCCGAACCTCTGCTGCCCTACCTAAGGTGGCTGCTGCTGGAAACAGGAGGCGCCTGAAGAGCATTTCAAGGTGCCGTGTGTGTGCAACAGACCACCATGAGATGCTTGCGTGCTCTTGCGTGCTCTCTGTGGGGGTACGAAACGCGGAACGCAGAGGCGGGAAGGGGTGGGTGCGAAAATGCGGCGGAATTGCTACGCGTGAAGAAGGAAATAAAAAACAGGAGTCAAACCTCACACGGCATGAGCATGGCTCCGTCAGCGCCCAAGATAGCCTGGACCTTCACCTTCGCCATCGGCAGTCGCTCGGGATACTCGTTCAACTTCCAGAGCCCCTGCAGTAGTAGCAGATGGCCGTCGGGAACAGCAAGTCATTCTTATCCCGCCGCACCTCACAACAACAGGTGTTGCTCAAGACCACCAGCACAAGCGGCAGCGAAAGTCACAGCCGTCTTAGCTGCTCGGCATCAGGGAGGAGTCGGCGATGCCGGTGATGAGAATGGCGATAGCTACGGAGATGTTCCTGGGCAAACCGCCGCGGACACAGCAGGTGATGGACCTAAACCACCGCCCGGCCCTTGCACACCAATATGCAGCAAAGGTAAACAATGGCGTGGAAATTGTCATGATCACTGGGACTGCTGGTACTGCTGTAGGTTGCGCGTAAGAAACCCTGGGGGGGGCATAGTCGGAAGCACGCGCAACAAAGAGAGAAAGGGCTGCTGAACCTTCTTCGCGTTGAAGACTGGAGGTCGACACCGCACGGGGAACGGTGAATAGCAAAATAAAAAGTCCCGTGCGTCCGTCACTGCAAGTTTTCCCCCTTGCTCAAGCCGTATTACAGCCGTTACTACAGCAGTGTGTAGACTGGCTGGCACCCAGCGCATGTACTGCTGTAAGACGAACACATGTCATATGATACAAGTACCCTGGACAGAGAGGTATGGTAGCAACTGAAGTCCCGGGTTATGAGACGGCATGCACAAAACACTGAACATGGAGGCTTGAGAGCATGATTTGGTCAAAGCACTCCGGTTGGTTCAATCGCCGCGAACGCATTCAAATCTCCAAGTCGAAGTCGTGTAGCGGCAGGCTTCGAGTCGAAGGCGGTGGAAAGAAGAGGGGAAGGCGACAAAGGCGCAACTTGAATTCCGGACTCCCTCGTTCAAGTGGCTGGCTCGACTTTCTTCTCCGACCCCGTCCACTGCTGCCCCTGACAGTCGAGCGATGGTTGCAACGAAGCTACACAAATCACAGATAGATATTGTACGGCCCTCTATTGGTTGCACTTCGTACAACGGTTGAGCGGCATCTGTTCACGTTGTGCACCATATCAGAAGCTACTGGCAATATCAAGCCTGTTTTATCGATTCCCTGGACAAAAGATGGAAACAGCAGTGCATCGACGGCCTCGTCAAGCAACTGGCTTCCCGTTCGACTTGATTTTTGGTATTCGCTGGTGTTTCAGCTTCCTATTCTCTTGGCACTGGCTGTTGATTTTGGCTTGGCAAGAAGACCGCTGGCTGACACCGAGGCATGATAGCGTTCCCCGCCCCTACAACACTAACTCACCAACTGTAGTATCTAGATACTAGGGGGGGTGTTAGGGCCGTTGGGTCCCCACCCATGTTTCGCCCCGTGTGCACTCATGTGTATAACCGGAGTCGGAAGGGAAATGGCAAAACCCTGGATCTTTCAGCAATCACACAGGGCAGAAGCGCTGCTGTAGCGTGGTTTGCGTGGTGCAGGCGTGCAAAGTTTGTAATGGGTCGCGCTAAACGCGACCGTTCTTTTCCCTCCGTCCCAGGAGGGAAAAAACCGGCTCTACATATCGGCCAAAGTTCCGCCGCGTGACGCATGAGCCCAATAATTGATTGCCGGGAAGCCTAAATAACCCACCTTTGGAACCAGAACGAGATCTTAGGGCACCGACTTACGGTCTGTTGGCTTCTGAGAAAGGAGAGAAATGGCGCACTTTTCGTCACACGGGTTTGATCGTGCATCGGCGAGAGAAGGCCGTGCTTCACATGCATATGTGCCCAAATATCTCTCCCCATCCTCTGGTTTTCTCCGCGAAAAGGGGAGCACAAAGACGGAGATCGCGCGCGCGCGATCCAAACCAGAAGCGAATAGAGACAGAGACGCAGAACTACCAAAAAACGCATCACCACTGGGACGCTGATCCGAGACCAGCGATGAAAACCAGGAGGGGTCAACCTATACGACCTGCGCGCCGTGGGTATAGTCATGCGCCATGTGTAACCTGGCGAGTGTTTATTGATGTTGAGTGGGTCTAACTGACTGCTCAATCAAACAGCAGAGCGATGACATCTCACACAAAACATACTACACCTTGCCAAGTCCAGAGCACACCTACCATCGAGAGAAACTGTTGAGGCCGTGAAGTTCAACTGCTGTTGCAAGGCAGGATGGTTCCCGGGGATCGGTTCAGGTTGCGTACTTGCGCCGCGATACTGTCTTCGATAAAGGTGTCTGCCCTGCCTGCTGTTGCTGCTGCTTGGTCTATCGCGTCAAAGTCATGGCCATCAACGTTTTTGTTTGTTTTAGGTGCATGTGTTGTAGTATATCCCGTGATGTAGACTATTTGCTTTCACTTGGCGGGAAATTAGGAATGCCTGGGACGAATGTGGCGGGTAAGTTGTGAGCCTGACGCAATATATGCCATCTGTCTGTCACGCATCTGTCTGTCACAATCCCGTGTCTACGCTGCTGTTGGTGCTCCTCGGCGATGTAGTGTGTGATACGCTCGCCGCCAGGTATATGCCGCATGCGTGTCTCTTCCAGAGGTGTTTGTCTGCGTCCGCACAGCGAGAAGACTTCATATTTTGGTTCTTCATGGGTGTGTGCATGTGGGCTGGTTGGCATCATCGGAAGCGAAATTACCGCATGTAAAGTGCAAATTTTGAACGGGGGCCGCACACACAATCACCTCGTCGCGCCCGTCGCACGCCTGTCCCTCTGGTACACGTAGCTGCACCACAAACGATTTACGCTGCTGTGTGTCGGCATTCGTGCATCATCAGCATCGCAGATATAGACTACTGCAAGGTTTGAGTCGGCCACCCCGTGGCTCATTAACCCCGCCCTATCTAGTACAAACCAATTTGGGGGCAAGAGTGTGAATACAAAATAGCTTTCTGAAACAGAGGTTTACGTCCTTGTACCTTTCATACGTCATCACCAACGAGTATTTTACCACAAAAGAGCCATTACCACGTGCTCGACGCCGTCTGATTCGTCGTCTGAACTCTTCGGGTCTTCATTTGACCGGGTGGTTTTGGGTGAAGGACGGACCGGAAGACAAGGAGGTTGTCGTCCGACACGGGCTTTGCCATGTTCGGTACATCCCGCATCACTCTACTACCAACATGTCGTGGTCGTAGGGTCGACCGAGTTACAGAACACACGCCAGGACCGGTCTAGAACGCTTCGCTACGGTGGTGAACTACATATTGGAACCTGTGGGAGAGTTTGGTGGAACTCAATACACTCACAACATAGTGGTTGTGGGAAATGCCATCTCCGACGTAAAATCGACTTGCCCGTGTTTCAACATTTTTCGATGAGTTCAGAGTAGATGATCCTTCAATAATTACCAGACAAGATGTGAACGATCCCTTACCCTTGTTCACGGTGCTATGATATCTGCAGCGCGGTGTTACTAGTTTTTTTCATGTTGGGCACGGAACGGAGCCGCGTGTTGTCTCATTGTCAGCGCCAACACGTGCTTTTTGTTTCTTTTCATCGCAGGGACAACGGAAGCAGACGCCGAGGCAGCGGAGGCCCTTCGTCGACAGGTCTTCGCCAACGAAAAGGGCTTCGAGGCGAGCTCCGTGTTTAACCCGACGCGCGCAAGGGAGGAGCGAGAGGAGGAAGAGGCGCGGGCCCTCGCCGCTCAGTGGGGCAGCACGCCCGAGCGGGCTAAGGAGATCGTGAAGAAGACGAAAGATGACAAGGATTTAAGTTTTCAGGTACAGGAACAGGTGGTGGTGGACGCGCGAGGTACGCGAGGGGAAGGGATGATCGTGTCCAGATTTTCGGTTTTAAGGCCTCAGGCATTTTTCTGAAAATCGTGGGGCGTCTGGTGTTGGTTGTTTACGTGCATTTGGGTCTTGGTAAGACACATTAGAGAATGTGTGTAAAAAGTACGGGACCACAGCTTCGGCGAGGCTCGCACTCACGGCGTGACGCCGAAGTACCATGGGAGTCTCCTGGGTCAAAGACGCTAGCCCCTTGAACGTTTTATATCGTTCTAGACTCCCTCGGTCCAAATGCACGAAGAGCTACCATTGTCTGGGGAAAAAGTACCGGTTGCGGCCTATCCTTGATATAGTCTACTCCGTTGGTCGAAGTGGTGAAGAATGAACCTAAGCCATGTGTTGCTTCCTACACACCCATTCGAAGCAGCAAGACCAAGGACCGTGCTAGAGAACGGTCGATCTACGTTGACCTCGTCCATACCAATTCATACTGATTCGCGAATGAATTCCACCACAAGCGTCTTCTGCTGATGTTGTTCAATCGGAAAAACAGATATTGTTTGGTTCGTCATAAATATATTCCCAGAAGACAACCTTCAATAGCACGAGGACGTTGGGTTCTCCCTCTCACACCCTCACCGCACCCACGCAACGCACCCTGAACAAATCTTCATTGCTACCCCTCAACACTACCCTAGCCGTCTCGGCTTGCCTAACTGTAGCTGAGGCGGCGTAAAAGCGGGTCGAATTCGGCTACTATCAAGTGATGTGCGAACCGTAGATGATCCAACCGCGTGAAATTCCTGTCTCGAAAGTATCCATGTGTCAATGTTTGCAAGGTTACATAGGTGCGATAAGCAAGTTCAATCTTTTTCTTCCTCTCCTTAAGTCGCTCTCCGTGTGGCAATCCTTGTAGCCCCCCCTCCGTACAGCTTGTCTCGTTGTTCCGACACGACTACGAACTAGAAAACTAAATTTCTTCAAACGATTGCGTGCAACCGGCATCTTGAATGCTTCCTGCAGTTCTCGGCGAAACCACATCGTAGCGCGTTTGAGGTACACCCCTCTCCCCCCTCCTCCCTTCTGCAACTCGCTCACACCCTCGCAGGAACTTGAGCGCATCACCGAAGAGCTGAATATGTCCGATGAGCAGCAGCGAGCCTTCATGCTCCAGGCGAGCATGAAGAAGCTGTCTGCTGCCTCGAGGTTACCGAAGCGACCGCCGCCAGACCGTGTCAAGGAGGTCCTCAACGAGAGGGTGTTCGCTTCGGAGAAGGGATTCCTGCAGAACAGCGCTGTGAGGTTTCGTCTTTTGTACAGCACGTAGCACAGCAGCAGCAGCAGCAGCAGCAGCAGCAGCAGAGGCGCACTACGCCTTTCGCTGTGTTTCGTTGTTTAGTTGCCCAGTGTTGGTTCGTTTTGATACTGCAAATAGCCTCAGCGAATAGCACCGACTTGTCGCACCTGCTGTTTGTGGCGGTTACCACACCACGCATTGCAACAGTGCCCCAAGCATCAGCACCCGTTCAGAATAAGCATTCACATACATAGAACCGTGACAACGACCAAATCCACGTCAAAGGGGCGACTATTCTTCGTCCACAACTCTGAGCAGTGCCAGTGGTCAACCCCCTGCCCCTGTCCTCCTTCCCCGTTAACTGCGTGTCGCCTCGGAACACGACTGATGGTTTTCACCCTGGTGTAAATATCCGACTGCCACGGCATGCCAGGATTTCAAGAACAAGATGAAGGTGGGGTCACGTGTCAACTTCGACTCGCACGGCCTTCCGGTAGCGGATGAAAGGGACCCGATCATTCAAGCGGCACGGGAGACGACAAAGGTGACAGGATTCGACCAGCTTCGAGACCATTGTTAAGAAATTTCCGTGTCCTCAAAACTCCCTTTTTGCTTTTTCGGGGAGTGGCATACTACCATCCCGGGGGAAATTCGTGTTAGCTAACGATCCATGAGGAGTGGTAGAAGCTGTTACGATTACTGGGGGGAAAGTAATCCTCACAACAATTGTTGTTTTTGGACATCTTACCGGTGGTGAAAAGCATTCCGCCTGCTTGACGCTACCCGTCATGGGCTGCAGGTGACTTGTCAATGTTGTCTGATGCTCACGTCATTGACGAAACGAGGTCCACCTCCACTTCTGTACAGTATTTGGCTCATGTGTCATCACAAAAATTGTTGGTTGTTTTGTCTGGCTTGAGGCCGATCTACCCGATCGACTGCTGCAGCAATGACGTGGAACGCGCACATGCATTTCCTTGTCTCCCCACATCAGTCACCCGTTTTCCCAACTCGGGCGTGTTGCTTTTTGTGCCGCCAACGAGAACGAGTGAGCGTAGCAGTGATTCCATCTCGTCATTGAACAAGCCTATTGCCCCGTAATATCATCGTTAACTGAAAGATGGCCGGGGTTGTCGTGCATCGTGCGTCGCGCTTCGGTTGTCCCGTTTCTGCACCGGGATATGAAGGCCAATCAGCGTGCGGCGGAGAAATCTGGTGTCGAGGCCATTACCTTCCCCTCCCTTCCCGACTGCCCGCGCTGCTCCATGCCCACTACGGAGGACGAACTGTCGCGGTTCGAAATGTGCTCGCAGTGCAAGGTGCTTCTACAGTTGTGGGTGGCGGTTGTGTGAGGTACATGGACGACACTGACAATGATAGAAGGAATTGTGTGTTTTACAGGTCATCGATCGTAGTGGGACACGGCGCTCTGCCAAGGTGCTGGCTGCTGAGATCTCAGCGTAACAAGTGCGTTAGATGGGCAGTGACCTGGTCGCAGCAACCACGTTCGTTGTTCCTGGCGACGACAGAGATAGTTTGGCCGGCATGTCTACGGCGCGGCTGGCCTGTCGGGATCACGGTGTCATTCTTTTGTTTGCGCTCGTGTATTTAAGACTTGCCGAGAGCATCTCTGTTGTTCTACCTGCCGCTTGTGCCCCCCCGCCCTTCCGTTTTCTACAACTCACAAGCTTAGTAATGACATAACCGTATTTTTGGAGTCTGGCAGAGCGGGTGTGCCCCCCGTTCCCCAAACCCTTTTCATTCGTCTCCACTTCCGCCGCCACGACCACGGACCAATCAGCAACAACCGGCACACCACATCACCCCATCAATTTGCTCGGCAGGCGCAAGAAATCACGTCAAAGGCGTACGCCGGTCCACAGATGGCCAGCAAATACACCTACGACAACGGTGACGCCCCTTTCAGTTCCTCTTGGACTTCGCCGGTGCCCCCAAAAACAAATGGCGGGGCATCCTCCGAAAGTGGGAAGGCTGCTGAAGTCTTACCCCCGAAGCGGAGTGAACAGTCGTCCTCTTCGGGCCCGCGATCTTCCGACCAAAGACGACCGCCACCTCCAGCGGCGCCAATCGACACCAGGAGAGCTGGAGCCCCCTCCACCTGGTCTTACGGCGACAACGACAACGACCGAGGTGAGTCACCAACGGGAGCGTCCGCGGGGCCCCTTCGTAAAGGCAATGGCAACCTTCGGAGCACCACAGGCAGCGGCAGCCACCGCAACCTCGGAAACTCTGCACCAGATACGGTCTCGCCACCTTCGGCAACCGCGACGGGGTCAACGGTGGCAGCAGCGTCTTTTCGAGGTGATGGGGTTCCCGGGGCGTTTCCGCGCGCCGCAGCGACAGCCGCTGCACCGGCAGACAATACGGTGGTGGACACCAAGAGATCATCCAACGCTAAGGTTGGTGGAGGGAGTGATAATTTTTCACGCGCGCCCGGACCTTTTGCCGCCCGCGCCAGCAAAGGTGGCGCGGTGTCAAGGGATCGACCCCGGGGTGGCGGCAGCGACGGTGGTGTCAGTTCGGGCGAGACGAAGGGCAACGATCGCGCCGAAGTTGCCGTGAGAAAGCTGTCGCTCGAGGTGGCCGAGCTCCGAACCCTTCTCGGGATCAACCGTTCGGCACTTGCGAGAGTGGAAACTATGAGCAAGTCGGCCAAAGCGCCACAACCGACTACGGAGGGGAGGGGGGCGGCTAGCAATAATGAAGATCAACGGCGAGACACCGCCGTGCGGAAGTTGGCTCGGGACGTGGCCGAGCTGAGGGCACAGCTTTCTACCGTCGTGGACAAGGTTTCGGACTCTGCCGTCACGCCTCCTAGTGGGCGAGGCGGGGACAGTGAGGTAGTCCAGACCATGAAGAGGGAAATGGCGGAGCTGCGCTCACAGCTGGACAACGCCCGCAAGGAGACTACCCTGACGCGATCAGCGCTGAGGAGGCTGCAAGGCGAAGTCGATGTCTTGCAGAAGAAGTTCGCTGGTCGACGATGACAGTCGCTGCGGCGAGGTGGGGTGGGCGTTTTGCCGCGAGTACGGTGCGCTCGGATTTCTTGTGTACCTTCCCTTACGCGAAGACCCATCTAGCGATGAGTATTCAAAAATCTGGGGCTTGTATGGGATAATAGATCATGCGTGGACGTGAATGATCGGTGGCGCTCTGTACAAAATCGGGGATTGTGTGAGTCGGGCGTTTTACGAAGTGCTTTTTGTGCTTTGCCATAGTGCCGCAAGGGTAATCCCGGAGATGAAGTCTCTGTCGACGTTCCGTTCCCCGGGACCCTGAAGATGCTCCCACCACGGATAAACTTGGTCCGGCAGAACGCTCGTTTTTGTTTTTCTCGCACATCGACCGTCGCTTGCTGTGCCTGTCTACGGCATGGCCGCGGTTTCTGTAGCGAAAAGCCACGAATTGGGGCCAAGCATATTTATTCGAGAATTTTTATCTTCGACGCGAGTCTTGAACGTGTCTCATGGAATGGCAGACACCTCTATCGTAGCGCCAAGCCGATGAGGTTGTTACCGAGGGCAAAGGGGCAGAGCGGAGCGTCGTGGCTGGAAGACGGAGGTGAAGGCTTCCCCGGTGTACTTCTTAGCTCTTACCCCGGAAGGAACAAGGCTGCACTACGAAGCATACAGCATCACAGATGTCGCCCCCGGAACGTACTCTCCGTGGACAACGGCAACACCGTAGTGTACAACAAGAGACAAGAAAGTACAACCGGGGAGCCTTTACCTCCATCTTCAACAGGGTTCACCGAGCTCCGCTCTGCCCATTCGCGCTCGGTCACAAACTCGTCGGCATAGGCGAGGGCACCCACCCGTGGAGTAAAACTAGTCTTACGGTGATGCGTGCATACCGGCAAACAGCGTCAGACGTGTAAGATACGCGGCTGACCATGAGCTAGCGATGGCGAGTTTTGCTGTGGTGCGTGCATACCAGCACACAAGAGTCATACATCCACGATACGCGTAGACCATGAACTGCCCTGGCGATAGCGAGTTGCGACGCACGTGTAGTGGCCGTGGAGGGATGGGGGATGGCTCCTAGAATGGCCAAACCACGCGTGCGATGCGTCACAAAACACGGGATTGCAATGTTAGCACTGTTCCTGCTGCGTATCGTAGATGTCTGACTCTGTGCTGGTATGCACGCATCAACGGAAGATTAGTTCAAACTCAACGGGTGTCTTCGGCAAGCGCTATGCCGACGAGGTTGTGACCACGAGCAAAGGGGCAGAGTGGAGCGTGGTGAGCCCTGGTGCAGATGGAGGTAAATACTTTCCGGTTGTACATAGCTCTCACCGCAGCAGCAGCCAGGGTGAACAATGTACAGCATCACAGATGCCGAACAACTTTCCATGTGCACCAACGGCAATACCAGGTAGTTGCGACGTATCCAAAATTGCTCCAAATTGTTGCTTACACATCGAGGGGTGCCAGCCGATGAAACCCAAACCCTCCACCGTTTGTGGCACACGTACGCCATCGCTTCACGCCTCGCTTCATGTGTTTACGCCTCCTACGTCAGCACCGCCCCGCACCAGGAAACCAACTAAAAGCACATGCTCTTGCTCCAGGCACATCGGCTGCAGCATCCGATCCACTCATGAAAACGTAGCCCAACAGCCGTCAAAACTCTTTATACAACAAAGTGCGGCCGGATTTACCAGCATTTGAGCAGCGCCCTCTGCTTGTCCTTTTTTTACAGAAAAACACACAACTTGCTCGCTCGTGTCGAGTAGGTGTCCGACTTGAATTGGCATGCAGAACCGTGCGCGTGCATAGCGCTGCAGAATACCATCAAGCAAACCGATAGCAATAACCAACATCACACATCAACCATAATTCCGGTCACTGTCAAGATCCAGCTCCTCTCGCCGCTGCCGTTGATCCGTGCACACGATATACCTCGACGCCGTCAAGGTTTTTCGTATTCACCTCGCTCTCCTTCTGCTGCTCTGCTACCGGTGTCGTGAGGCCGCCGCTAACCGCCCCGCTTCGGAAGGGTCGGACGTCTACCTCACCGAACCCCAGCGGCAGAATCAGCGATCGGATGTCCTCGATCGATCGCAAGGCTTCCTCGAGGATTTCACCAGCATCAACCTGCGTTTGTGTGTGAAACAATAACAGACAATATCGCCGCGCGCGCAAGCAGCGACGCGTGCAACGGGGAATAGGATGATACGCAAACGACACAATCACCATGCTGCCCCCAGTTGTGAGTATTGGTCATGCAGTAGGCAGGGATGCACACAGCGCCCCAAGGTGATGGCTGTATCGCCGTGCGCCCAGCGTTCTTTTGAAGATATTTGTGCATCATACTCATTCTATTCAACCAACATGTAATCACCTGCAAATAAGATATGAATGAACAAAACACGGTAACACCGGGTGGTGCGGACACTGAAAGGTGCGCAGCAGACGCTCTAATTTTCATATTCTGGCAATCGGGGTCAGCTTCCGAGGTTGCGGGGTCTGTTCCCTTCAATCTATCCCCCGCAACATGGAGGTTACACGAGACAACAGCAGAGCAACCGCGATCATCTTCAGAAGAACCCCTTTATCGGCATTGGCGCTTTCGTTGTCGTCGAGGAGTGCGAAAGCAGTCTCCCTACCCCAGAGATAGCCCAATCGGCCTTGTGGCTTTCATCTCAAGAAAGAGAAAAGGAACTGCTTGGAAACAAAATGGGCGATATTGAAAAAATCGGTGGGAAATACGGGGGAGTATGATGCGCCGGCGCTTGAGTCACGGCATTCTACCGAGACCGGGTTACGGGGGGGCTTGTTTGTGATGCTCACCTCAAGCAGGGCCTTGTTGCCGTGCATGGCTCGCACGCGCAAGTTGTGGGACACGCCCAGGTCTAATCGTTTTCGTGCAGCGTCTTCCGCCTGTGGGAACATTCACATTTTCGGGACACGAATTCGTTTTTAACCCAAGAGGCAACGAAATCGAGAATAGTGGTCAAGTCATACACGGCTGAAATGGAGGACAACTGCAAGTTCAACGGTTCAAGAACATGTCCGGGGCCCAAGCGCTATCTCGCTGCCTCCCCCGCTGGTAGAAACAGGGAGCGTTCACTTCTGTCAATGGCATGCCCAACCATGGAACATGAAACAAGAAATAGACTGTGTTCGCGTCACTGACAGACGCCTCTTGACGAGAGAGAGGTTTCTCCGAGGTTTGCCACCCATGATCAAATGGCACACAAGCACGAGTATCAAGAAGGGTCCACGTGCGAATGAGGCTTCTCGGTGGTTAATACGTTCCGTGGGGTTAGAGGGCCAGCGCCAGCATGGCCGAGGAGCACCACGTATACACGGAAAACAAATACGCATACGAATCTTATCCAATGAGACTCCGCGCGTTTTCCGGTCTAAGCTCGACACGGGGGGGGCTCTGCCTTTTCCCGCCACGACTTGAATTTCCCGTTACGATTCAAAGCTTGCTATACTTGAACCAATTAGCACTGTCGACCAAACTCATGTACCGTACAACGGAGAGCTGACTACAACACATCGCTCCCCACCCAAGCGGGTCGTCACATAGGCATGCCAGGACGGACGTTTCGACAAAAGGAAAGCGCAAACGCACAACACGAACACGCAAACGGACACTGCCTTCCAGCTCCTGCACCCCCTCTGTCGGGAGAACCCTTACCCTTACCCTTTGATTAGAAAGTGTTCGTATTTCTAGCCCGCTACAAGACTGACGACTTTTCATTGGCCAGTCGGTTGGCGCGGTCGATGCAAATTGAGAAAACACCTACACGCACTTTCAACTAAGCAAGCACACACACAGCAGTGACCCACGCAGGCACCAGCACGCACCTTCTCGACGAGAACAAGCTTCTCTGGCGTGGCCTGCACTCCAAAGGCCAATCTCGACCGCAGACACGGAGACGCGGCGTGATTCCAGTTCGGCAGACCCAACTCTCGGGCAACAGCCCGCACCTGAAAAGAGAACCATCAGGACGCCACCAGTAACGAACGGAGGAACTGTTTGAACGGAATTACGGGCTTCAATGGAGCGAGCTACAGGAAGGTCAGAGGCAGACGCGTGTGGTCAACACCGTCGGAACTCGGGGACCCACTGGCAGATCTGCGACTCTTCCATATGCCACCAATGGGACTGCAAATGCGGCCTTCCCTCCAACCCACTTGTCTTCTTGTCCTCTCTCAGCGCCTCAAGTTTACCGGCAACAAACTGGTTACCATGGGTAGCGGGCTATGGCTTCCGTTTCCTTGGGACGCTGCAACCACGTCGCCGGACGCACCGCCAAAGCCGTCCTTCCGCACGAACTTTCAAAGGCACCACGCTAAACACCAAACGTTCCCTGTATTTGAGCAAACACTAAAAAAAAACACCATGTACGTGCAAGTTCAAATCTCTTTTGCTCGAACATCTATCCCCCTGAACATGAACACGTTACCATCGACACAGTTCCCGCTGAGCCTGAGGAACACCCACCTCTGCCTTCGTCAGCATGTCTATCGGACTTGCCACCTGAAAGTCTGCTGCAGCCTTCAGGCCAACCCTGCAACAACAACGACAGCAACAACATGGTCCCACACACGAGCGAGGTCGGGTCGGGTAGATAAAAATCACCTATTACATCACTGGTAGGTGGACTCGTGCTGTTCCTCGGGACACACGGCGCTTCAGGGGGAAACAAGACCGCACCAAGGCGTGTTATGCGGAGATGTGTAACGGGATAGCTGCGACTCTGTGAACCCGCTTGCCACAGTTCTTGGACCGACCCTGGAATCCCGTAAACACCGGGACATAAATTGCGAGAGGGCTGGGTGCGTGGAAGGTCTATTGTTCAGGATTACTTCCGCAGGGGTTACATCAGCGTACGCTGGAAACTCCGATTAGGGTGCTGCTGTGTGCACTGCAAGTTGTTCTTCAGTGCACACGCACCGAACTGCCGCGAAAAAAGAAACATCCATGCCACGTGGAACACAATAAGAAAAGCGCCGACAGCGTCGCATACCCTGAAACAACACGTTACTCCAGTCCACAGGAAGGATGACCCAAGCACCCACCTAGTGGTATCGCGCTTGTCATCCTTGTTGGTGCCGTTGAACAGCACCACCCTTCGCCCTCCCTCAACAATCCCCCCGGCGCCATCAGCACCACCACCCTCGAGGGCACTCGTGCTTGGCTCTCCATCCCCCACGGCAGCCGCGCTGCTACGGCGGGACTCCACCCCGGCCTGTACGGCGACCGCTTCTAGGGCGGAGTAAAGGTGCGTCTTGCAGTGGAAACAGCTCTGGCCCTCGTTGGCGATGTAGTCGGGGTCGGAGCCTTCCGTGGTGGAAATCTCCGTGAGAGGGATCCCTTGAGCGCGAAACCGAAAGCAAACAATTGAAGAGAGAGGATCAGGAAAAAGGTCGTCCGGGCGTTCTAAGAACCAAGTGCCCGGAGGGGTCGGGGTCTAGGCTCTGAACACACCCGTCTGTTTAGCTTACACATGTTGGAAAGCAAATCGCACCACGGCACCGATGATGCTGTCTCTGCTGATCGCATGGACAGGGCATAGAGGTGACAGAGTTGCACGTTCTACTTCGATACGACCAGCAAGAAGCGAGATACCGGCTGCGTTGTCTTCGCTCCCCCAACGAAATAAAGTTGCGATTTTTTGTGTGGGTAGACAAACGTCGGATTGAGTTTCTACGCTTAAGCTTTTATTCCGCACGCCTACCGAACGCTTGCCACCAACCAGCGGCGAATGCATGCTGACGCTCCTCTTCTTCGTTGTTCACTAAAGACACAACTGATCTGCATCACATTGTGATTCGTATGTCTGGTGACGTACTCCAATGCCACCTCCTCTTCATCTGTGCTACTGGGTGTGCTGAAAAGGGTTGCATGCTTTCGGTGGAAATCGACAGCTGTCCAAGAAGGCTCTTGTCGGCATGCCATTACTTCTCCAAAATCTATACCCACGCTCTACGCTCACTATCAGCCATTGGCAGTAGAATGCAGTGCACGTATCCCCGCAGTATGTCTCCTCGTGGTTATAAAGTTGAAAAGTTTGTTGGCTTAGACCATTTCTTACGGGTTTTTTTTTAGCTGTCTTCTCCTTTTTTCCCTATAAAAAAAAGACAACTGGCCACAGAACCCCTTCTTACGGTGTCTTTTTTCAGGGAAAAAAGGCCAAAAAAAAAAGACAACCCGTTTTGGACAGCCCATCCTGTCTTTTTCTGGGGCAGTTTTGGATAAGTCGGGGCCGTCTTTTTCTGTGGTCTTGTTTTGGTCACAACCACATGACGCTACCTACAAACTTAATCTCTCGACGGTTGATCCCCGCAAACTCTAACGGTGTTCACACGAGCTGTGTCATGTGACTGGTTCAGAGTCAGTAGCATCAGCGGTAGCGTTGTTTTTTCATTCGGCTGGACCAAGTGGACAACCCGATGTGTGCGGCGCAAACAAACGGCAAACGAGCCGAGAGAGTCTGGACGCAGCAGCGGGGGGTCTTTGTTGGTGTGCTGTCAACTTTTGCGAACCCAACTTTTGGGCGCCCTATAGCCTCCTGATCTGTGTCAACCACCACACAAGACGGACCATACGCGCAGCTCATGGCGGATACCTTTGTCATCGCTGTTGCTGGAGTGGGTGGCGAGGGAACATCGATGAACCAAAGTTGCGACACGGGCGAAAGAGCAAAAAAATTGCTCAAAGACGAGGCGGGTCATTTTTCCCGCTTGTTCACGACTCTTGCGCTCACAATTTTTGAGCGCCCTTCAGCCTCCTGGTCTGTATCAACCACCATACAAGGCGGACCATACACACAGCTCATGGCGGATACCTTTGTCATCGCTGGTGCTGGAGTGGGTGGCGAGGGAGCATTGATAAACCAAAGTTGCGACACAGGCCAAAGAGCAAAAAAAAAACTGGATGCTGGCGCGGTGGGTATTTCTCCGGCGTGCTGTTGACCCTCGCCACCTCAGTTTCCGTGCCTCCAATCGCCCTGTGGTCTCTAACAGCCACCACCCAAGACGGACCATACACACAGCTCATGGTGGATGCCTTTGTCATCGCTGTTGCTTCACTGTATGCGGAGACATCACCGAAACACCATAGCGGTGGAAGGTGTATGTATGTATGACGAACGGCCGTTGCAGGGTCTCTTTTCTTCGGTCGATGACTCGGAATAGAAAAAAGGATGGACCAGCACCGCAAGAAGGGGGTCATCTTCTTTGTAGATCATTTTTTGGGTCGTCTCTTTTGGGGGGGAAAAGATCCAATAAAAAAGACACCGTAACAAATGGCCTTGTCATCGGGCACTGCACTGGCCTATACCCGCTATTGCTCCGGGCGTCGACCTCTAGGTCTGGTTTTTAAAAGAGTGGTTAGGATAGAAGACACGCTTGCCCCTGAATTCTGTGGTTATTCTGAAGCTTTAGCTTCAGTCTCATCTTTCAATATCCGTGGGTGGGTGGGTGGAACTTTTATTCGCATAGCCCACCCCTTGCCCGACCCTGTCTCAAATGCCGATCTCGAGCTACAGTGTAAATCTCGTGGCGCCCGAAGTATGGTTCGGTAGGCAATCGCAAACCATTACCCCTCCCCGAGTTTCAGCCGCTTCCACCTGCTGTGGCCGACACGACTCGGCCTGGACTGTTCCTTGTCTGTCTCGCCATGGGAACGGCCGGATGAACAGCGAAAGAGGGTCCTGCGTGCTGCGCGCCACAATTTTCTTTTTTTTTTGTGATTTTCTTCGTGAGTGACCATACGGCTGTTGCTGAATTGCTTCAGTCTCTGTCGCTTTGGGCTGCACGCGTTGCTCGCGTAGGCATTGCTCGCGTTGTAGGCGATGCGCGTCACTTACTTTTCGCCTGTTGCAACAACAGCACAACGGTTGAAGAGACAGACAACAGCAGGCCTTTTTTTTCTGTTGCTGCATATGCATGCATGGGTGGTATGCATCGCACAGTATAAGCGGCATGTGCATGTGGTGTGGAATACATCGAATAAGCGTGTTGCCTTTTTGGAGTCACTGCGTAGTCAGTCGTAACTTGAGCCATAAGGTAGATGGCAGCAAAAAGTGAGGTGTGTGGCATCGGACAGTTTCCACCTTCGTGCAGCGGTGCACATCTATCGCGGACGGACTTGATACTACTATAGTTCGTCCGTGTATCTCACTTCGTCACAGGAGATGAAAGTCTGCACTGTTCTTTGGTTGTGTTGCTGAGCCCACATCGGATACCGCCGTCCGTTACACATGTCTGACAGCCTGCGGTGGGCCAAAGGGACGAGAGTGAGTGGGTGTCTTTTCGAGAGTGGATCCCTTGTCTGCTCTCCGCTCTCTTCTTTGTTGTCTACCTACAGCAGTACCTGCCTCTCCCTCGCCTTTCGCCGGTTGGTGGGGTCCCAACAACATCGAACTACGTCAACCGCAGGTGGTTTCGCTTCTTGCTCAGTAAGAGCCTACCCGTGCACCCGGCTGTTGCATGTGAGGCGATTTGCGCTACCTGTTTGTGTCAAGCGATGGACTTGGGCCCTACCTAATACTGGCCATGCAGTGCTAAGTGACATTTTCCAACGGCCCAGACCGAGCAACGAACAGGTTGGGTTTTCTATGCTTCTTTTGCCTCCTCCCCCAAGCTTGTCGCGCCTGGCTCACTTGTTGTCTTGATCTTTTTCGTTTTTCATGCTTTGTTTTTTGGGAGCTACAGTGCAAACCTCGTGGCGCCTCAAGTATGGTTCGGTAGGGAATCACAAACCATTACCCCTCCCCGAGTTTGAGCAGCTTGACCCTCCTGTGGCCGACACGACTCGGCCTTGACTGTTCCTTGTCTGTTTCGCCGGGAACGGGCGGTTGAACAGCGAAAGAGGCTCCTGCGTGCTGCGCGCCACAATTTTTTTTGTTTTCGTATGTGATTTTCTTCCTGAGTGAACGTTGTACACATGCGGTTGCTGCTGTTATGCTCGGAATATGCTGCAAAGGTCGTAAGGTTATCGTCGTTGCGCTTGGGCTGCACGCTGTGCTCGCGTAGGATATACGCTTTCCTCAATTTTTCTCCGTGCCGATATCCATGAAGAAAAGCAACGACAGCACGGTTGAAGATACAGACAACAACCGACGGTCCGCCTTCGTTTTTTTTTTATTTTCTTGCTACGTATGCATGGGTGATAAATCATCGTAAGCGTGTTGCTGCCTTACCTTGAAGTGTGCTGCGTAGTCGTAATTTGAGCGATAAGGGGTAGATGGCAGCACAATCTTATTTGCGTAGTGAGGTTTGACAACTGGTCGTTCGTGTAGCGGTGCGCGTCCATCGCGACGGCAAGCAAGCGTGTTGAGATAATATAGTTCGTCGGTAGTGTGCGTCTAGTCGTCATGTTCTTTTTCGTTGTAACTTCATACTTCATGCCACAAATAAATGATGAAAGAGAGTCTCCACAGCAGTTCGGAAACGGCGACTAGTCTATATTTGTTATGTTTGTTGCTGCTGAGCGCACATCGGATGTCACCGTTCGATACAGCCTGCGGTGGGCCACAGGGTCGAGAGTGAGTGTCTTCTCGAGAGTTACTTAATGCCTTCTCGACGCTCTCTTCTTTGGGTCTACAGTAGTACCTGTCTCTCTCTCGCCTATCGCCGTTGGGGTCCCAACAACATCGAACGTCAACTGCAATCGTTTTGCTTCTTGCTGAGTAAGAGGCTACCCGTGTACCCGGCTGCTGCATGTGAGGCGATGGGCGCTGCCTCTTTACTTGAAGCAATGGGCATGGCCCCTACTGTTTGCTGCATGCAGTGCTATGTGACAGCTTCCAGCGGTTCAGAGCGGCGACGGTGGCTTTTCTATGCTCTCTTTTGCCACCTCCCTGAAGCCTGTCGCGTCTGGCTCACTTGTCTTTGTTCTCCCTTCTGTCTATTTTGATTTTTCATGCTTTGATTTTTGGGGTCCGCCGGTCACCCACCCACCCATTAGTTCAGTTTTAGTTTTTTTACTTGCCATGTCTGTGACTGGGCCCCGCAAGTTTCGCAATAAATTTTGAAGCTTTTCTGAAGCTAATTGAAACAGTCTCGTCGTTCGATATCCGTTAGGTGGGGAATCAATCGCAAATCATGACCCGTCCCCGAGTTTGAGCAGCTTCCGCCTCCTATGGCCGGCAAGAGTCGGCCTTCACTGTACCTTGTCTGTTTCGCCGTGGGAACGGCCGGTTGAACAGCGAAAGAGGGTCCTATTTGCTGCGCGCCACAACCTGTTTTTTTTTTGCGTTTGTTTGTGATTTTCTTCCTGAGTGACCGTTGTACACATACATTGCTGCTGTACACGTACATGCGGTTGCTGCAGTATATACTCGGAATGTGCTGCGAAGGTCGTAAGGTTATCGTCTCTGTTGTTTTGGGCTGCACGCGTTACTCGCGTAGGCGATGCGCGTCTCCTACCTTTTTCCAGTGTCGTTATCTATGAAGAGCAACGGCAGCACAGTTGAAGAGACAAACAACAACAGACGGTCCGCCTTCGTTTTTTATTGTTTTGATGCATGCATGGATGGGTGGTATGCATCGGTATAAGCGTGTTGCTGCCTTACCTTGAGTCTGCTGCGTAGTCTTAATTTGAGCGACAAGGTATTTGTTGCTGAGCCGACATCGGATATCACCGTTCGATACACAATGTGACATCATGTCTGACAGCCTGCGGTGAGCCAGGGACGAGAGTGAGTGTCTTCTCGAGAGTTAATGCCTTGTCTTCTCTCCGCCTCTTCTTCCACCACTCTCTCTCTCTCGCCTTTTGCCGGTGGGGTCCCAACAACATCGAACGTCAACCAACCGCAGTCGTTTTGCTTCTTGCTGTGTAAGAGGCTACTCGTGCATCCGGCTGCTGCATGAGAAGCGATGGGCGTTATGCCAAGCAATGGACTTGGGCCCTACCTAACGTTTGCGCATATGCAGTGCTATGTGAGAGTTTCCAGCAGTCCAGAGCGAGCGGCGACCGTGGTTTTTCTATGCTCTCTTTTGCCTTCTCCCTGAAGCCTGTCGCGCCTGGCTCTTTTGTTCTCGGTTCTTTCTTTCTTATATTTTTCATGCTTTGTTTTTTGGGGTCCCCCGGTTCCCAGTGTCAGTACAACCCCCCCCCTGAAGCCCGCCCCCCCCGGGGTTTTTCATCGGGGTTTGGGTTTTCGTCGCTTGGCAACGACGTTGTAAAACAAGCCCCCCACTCGGTGTTTGCCATCGGGATTGGGTTTTCGTCGCTTGGCAACGACGTTGTAAAACAAGCCAATTCACTTCGTGAACTCGGCAACCAGGTTACCATTTTTTTTTTTTACCTCGGTTTTTTTTTTTGGCGGTAACCATAATGGTGGTCGAGTAGATCATGTTGTGCGGGGTCGAGAAACCTCACTCCGCGCAACGGGGGATGATCGCACCTCGTTGTGTTAAAATGGTCAAGCTTCCTCGAGGCAGTTACACAGCGCTTACAACTGTCTCTGGAAGTGAAAGCACCAGAAAATAAATTAAGTCATACGTAGCTGTCATCCGTACGCAAGGAAGTAAGCACAAGATGCCGAACACCCTTAGCAGGATGCAGCTCACCCTTCATGCGACTCGCCAAATACCTCACGGCGCTTCGCGCTTGGTGATGTGAGAGCCTGGTCCGGTGAGAACCCGGCGTGCTCCATCCCGGCTTTGTAGGGATGCGAGGTCAATGGTCAAACGACTACGGCATGCACGACTATGAGTACAACCCCCCCCCCTGAAGCCTGTCGCGCCTGGCTCTTTTGTTCTCGCTTCTTTCTGTCTTATGTTTTTCATGCTTTGTTTTTGGGGTCACCCGGTTCCCCTGCGTACTCACCGGGCGTCTTCTTGGTGTCTACCTTGATTGTTACCCGCTGAAAAAATCGAAAGCTTCAGACACGCAACGCGACGATACTCGTCGAGTTGCCATACACAATTTCTGGACTAACTTCTGTTGATCTGGGAGCGAAGTCTCGGTGTGCAATTCTGGCAAGATGCGGCCAATACAGCAGCAGCGTGTCAGCGTGTCTAAAACCCTATATGCTGTCTGGGAAACCGTAGACACAGGTACTTTCTGACGCTATGAATTGATTGCTAATCTGTCTCAGACTCTTTTCTACGATAGAGATGGATTTGTTGTGTCATACTAAGAAAAAAAAAAAAAAACAGGGTGAAAAATGCGGCGCAATCATCGGCGGCGTCATGTTTACACGATCTATGCATGACTGTTGTAGGTTCCAGGACCGCGGAGCTATGACGAGATTCTTGCGTCCTTTCTCGATTCCAACCGTGTCGCAGCTACAATATGTCCGTGCAAACAAGCCACTTTCTTATTGCAACACTATAGGAACATCAGAGACCGGTGCTCGGCCACGCTCAAAAAACACACATGCTTCAACTTTCCAGAACCTCGACCTGACGGTACACGCACAACCGCTGTTGAATCGAAGAACCTCAACCATACACTGCTGTCATCGCCACGAGCTCACCAATACGGTTCGCTACGCTGCGTGCCAGGTCCAGCTGGGCCGCAGGCAGCGCCGATGACACGCCGACGCAGGCCTGACTGCTCCTCGGAAAGGCATGATGCACCAACGCGGCCACCAAGGACGAATCAACGCCGCCGGAAAAGGCTACGATGTTCTTCCCATCAGCGGCCGATGTACCCAGCGAGAGCACCCGTGCTCTGAGCGTGCGAATTGTGTTTTGCATGGCCTCTTCGCCGTGCACTCTGGTCTGCCCCCAGCACGGACTGCTGATGCCACGCTACTGGTGCTGCGTGTGCTGCTGTGCTGCTTGCGGTGTTGCGTGACGTGTGAATCGTCACTGCCCCCATATTCCGGGAGGTGGACATATCCTTGCGTCTATATTCCTGTCTGTGGGGACCCCTCCCGCATCTTTGATCTTGCCCTGCCAGCGCAGCAGTGGCAGTCCACAGGCAGTTTCCAAGAGGCTCATGCTAACCAGACCCGTGGAGTACTCCGTAACCCGTGCGGCCTCTTGCCACACATCGATGGGCTGCCCTTTTTTGCGCTGAAAGAAAACACGGTTCCCTTCCAGGCAGTGTCTCTTCAGGAACAACCAAACCCGTGATATCAATGGCACCCTCGGAGGCTCCTCTCAATGCGGAGGCAATAGCCCGCGCCGTGACCGGCCTCCCTTCAGCGGTGTTCGTCGGGGGCGTGAGCGGGGCTCTCGACGCGGAAGCGAGTGCCTTGGTGGACAAGCTAGACCCCAAGCTGGAGGAGATCAAGGTGCGGAACATTCAACACTCTGTACATCATCATTAGCCCGGTCTGTTGGTGCTGGTGCGATGGTTTGTAAGCGTCCAGCGAAACCCCACGGATCCTTCCCACGCGCTCCCACCCCGTCTCCTCGCTCCCTCGCCAAACCAACCATGTTTGTATTGTTGAAATTGGTACAAGTATGGCAGTCTACAGCAGTCACCGCACAACCTGGAGACCACTTGTACACGATATGTGTAAGCTGCTGTCCGGTCCCGCTCATGTTACTCATTTCTCCGCATGTCACCTCCGTTTCGAAGGGTCTACCGATATTGCTGTTCTGCGGTTGTCCCATTTCAAAAGACGCGTCCATGTTGTCACAGCAGTGTTGGGTCGGCTTGTCAATATGCACCGACCCGTGGGAAGAGCAAGGAGGGGAGCTTGGTGATGCACAACTTTGCTGCGATCGAGTCCCCAACCTCTCCAACTTCAGAAAACTGCTGTGTAGATGACATTACCAAGTGGCGCAATTTGGTGGCGTTGGAAACCTGGCAACTGCCAACCCAGGTTCGGGTTGCTGGTGACCCACGGATGTGTCGATTCCTCTTTTTTCGGTTTACCGCTACCGATACAACCCTGACTTTTACCTTTACAAACCCGCGTTATCTACAAATTGCTCTCACAGACCGATATCAACGCCGCTTTGGAGCTGTGCCACTCCGGGAACGAGCCGTCTGCTGGGGAGTGGCAAGACGACGTCGAGACCCTAAGAGCGGGCGGTAAGAGAAGCACGACGTGTATCGCTGTTGTAGCGATTGTCTTTGACCTCAGGCTCGGCCCTGGCTCTCGCATACCGTTTGAATATCGAATACTCAATGTAGTCGAAGCGATTGAGTCCCTATGTCAGCATGATCGGGTTCCGAGGAGTACCCTGATGGAGACGTGGGGGCAGCTCTCTCGTGAAATCCTTTGGTAGGAAGAGGCAGCGTCGTATTATGGGCACAACAGAGTCCCTCCACGCGTGCCACTGCAGTCCCCTGTTGTTGGAAACCCGGTGCGTTCGCTGGAAGGCGAGCAAAGCTCGGGCTTGGCCCGCCATTCTGCTGGGCGTTGAGTGATTAAAGCTCGAGTAAGCAGCGGTGTTGACCCCACATTTACCTGTGACCTTCAGTTACGACGTGTCGTTTTCGGTGGACAACACGTCAAGGAGGGTGTCAAGTCCCCATGACATGTGTTCCGACATCTCCCGACAAAGTTATCGAACGTTAACATCCTGACCCACAATGCCGGATACCAGGCCGTCCTTTGTTGCTCTGCCTAACACGTGGGTGCATTTGTTGCCCTGCGTTTTGATGTTGCGAACACGCGCGTGGAAGACTGATGCACTGATGCAGGATTGCGATCCTCAGCGCGTTGTCTCAATAATCTTGCCCGCGCACTTGCTAGATTGTTGCTTGTTTCCGGAACAGCTGTGAGTACATTTGGACCAGGGGTCAAAAAAGGATTTGATGCATGATTGTTGCCGGCGTCTCTCTTGTGGCCACATGTTCGTCGTCGTTGGTGCTTGCCGTTGCTCGCCTTTGCGCCTTTCATGCAGTGCGGTCGATCAAGACCATAGCGGTGAGCTTGCTTAACAACACGTACGTGGCGCCTCGGGCACGAGAGGTGAGCTTCTCTACGTGGCTGCCCCGCAAGGCGGCCCGGTTTGAAGGCATAGCGGTGGTCCCGCGTAAAGCTTGCTCCTCGCTAATTGATTGGCAGCGTTCGTTCCTTCTGGCTGTGCGCAGAGGCTGCTTTGGTGAGGACCACCCACCGCCAGTCTCCGCGTTTTAGCCGGCCGGTCATCATCTTGCGCCTGCAATCCAGCGTTCATTTTGTAAGTGACTCAAGAATTATACTTCTTTCCCCTCCCTCCGTTTGTTGGGTGTTGTCGTATTGTGTGGTCCTGTTTTGCCCGGGCTTTCCGATTCTCAAAAGCGCCTTCATCGAGAGCCCTCCCTCTCGTCCTTCGGAGGTTCAACGAGGGCCGGGGGCGCATTAGGGCAGCCTTCCACGGACCAAGAGTTCGTTCTAGAGTTGTAATTTGTTTTCAATTTGCCGAGTTTCTGTTGTATAGATATGTTTCCTGTGTGGTTGGAGTCTGACATCTGTAATTATCTCCTCCAAGGCGTACCATTCGGTGTTTTTGGTGTGGGTGGTTGATGGGCAAGTCTACACTCGTGCTTGCAAACAGAATGTCGATGCCTTCAACCGATTTGCTTCAGAACCAATGCGGACGAAACTTGTCTGAGAAGTTGTGCATGTAACGAGGAGGAATTGGAATGGAGGTCCAGCGATTCGAAAATCCCTTCATGTGTATAGGGGTTCCTGTTATAGCAGGGAATCGTCCTCGACAGGCGTCCTGGATAGCTTGCACCTTGTTACGGGGCGATTTGCATACGATCAGGCGTGAATGAGCGTGCATTTTGGACCAGGTCTGGAGGGGGAAAGAAGAGCCTAGCGCCCAGAAGGGAGTTGCTTCGCTTGGGCAGCAGCCACTGCTCTGCACCTGCACCAGACGGCGTTTGATTGACAACAAGGTTTTTTAGTGGGGTAGCTGCTGTCGCAGCAAATATTATTCCATGATTTTGTGTGCGCGTTTGACCCATCTGACACTACTGTAGTTTGCGCACCTTTCGGTGTGTCTGTTGGACGCATGTAGAGCAGTCGGGGACACACAGGAAGGTAATATAGCACAGACATTCTTTCTATTAGTAATAATGAGCCGCGGAGCGCGAAGCGCGACGTTTTTTCCCTTCGTCCCCAAAGTCCCCAAGAGGGAAAAAAAGGCTCTATATATATCGGCCAATGTTGCGCCGCACGATACAGGGCCTCCAAAACTTGGTTTCCGTGAAGTCGATATAACCCACTTTTGTGGTGGTATGCACGCGTGAAGTCTGGTTGACCCGTGAAGAACTCACTTGTTATTACTCTTGCAGAACAGCAGCTGCAGTAGCTGTTGCCTTGGGTATCGGTAGGAATGACACCAAGGGGCGCAGGATCCTCAGTACAAGCAGGGGCTACTAGATCCTGTCCCCTGTTTTATCCTTCCGCGGGGAGTTACATCTCTCCGCGCCTTCTAGAAGGAACCATTCTCTTCTATGTTCCGTCTACACATCTGAATCCTGTAACACTAGCCCACCCTGGAGGTTCTCATACGCAGATACTATAAAACCTCGGAGTCTTGGCAAGCAATTGTCGAGTCTCTAAATGGAAGTATCGAGGATGTGGAGCTCCAAAACAGCACAATTCACCCTCCCACACCTCTCACTCGATGGGTCGCAAGACCATAGTTTGACTTCTAAACAACAAGAAGACACCGAAAGGAACTGACGAGGCTAAGAAAAGCCGATGACGACCGGAACAAGGTCGAAACCGAAGAAAGGAAAACACGAAGAAAGTAAGAAAACCAGAAGAAAACAAAGGTCGTCAAAACGACAAAAACAAAGGATCACCGCCGGAACGACAAAAAGACCGGCATCGAAAAAAAAACCCGAGAAGATACGCCACTCACGCAGTCGCCACGGCAGCGAATAAGCGACAACAATGGGCGCGAAACACCTACAGGTCGTGACCAAACGCTAAAGGCACTAAAGATAGCGAGGAAAAAGCGAAAACCAACCAAGGCTAAAAACAATCCAAAAAACGCTGAAAAAAATCCAAACAGTGCTAAAAGCAGACCCAAAAATGCGAAGAGCAACAGAAGGCACAAACAACCAAGCATGTCGTCTTAATGGGGGTGCGCAACGTCATCAGGCAACGGATCAGTCCCAGCGTCACCACGCGACATGTCGACGTTGCGAAGGATTCCCTTAAAAAGGGCGCTGCCGCTGTGAACTTGGAGGCACCAGGATCCGGAGACGGCGGTTTCGGCGGTGGAGTAGCGAACATCAGGAAGGGCGAGCTTGACAGGTCCAGGATCGTCTAAGAAGCGGACGACGTAGAAGTCGGAGGGTAGAGGCGGTCCAGTAATCTTGCCCAACCACCAGAATCCATCGCGCGCTTTGTACCAGAAGAAGTCGCCTGCAGGTAGCGGAGTATTGGCAAAGCGACGGTCCCATATTGAACGAGAGACGAGCGAATAGCCCGAAGGCAAGGCTCGCTCACCTTTAGCGCGCGCCATCTCGCGGTTGGCCGCACCAATACGCATCGCCCGATAGCGGCGATTCGTTTGGCGGTGTTGGTCAGGCGAACCCGTCCAGTACCGAAGAATATGTGTCTTGGAATGCTGGAGGTCCATCCCACGTTCCCAAGAAGGACGAAGAAGACCGTTCCAATGAGTTTGGTATAAAACAGCGATGGTGCCACCACGACCACGAACAGGCTGATGGCCACTAATGCGGTCAACCTCGAGACGTTCGACCGGAGTCGACACGTCGTCTTCCGTAACATGGTAGGGAGGAGATTTATTCGCATAGGAGTTTAGCACATACGGTGTAAGGCCGGCAGGCAGGAACCGAGGCAAGTCTTCAGTGTCATGTGGATTAGCGCAAGGCTTGCAACGCGCAGCAACCGATAAACGATTTTCCGAGTCTGGACCCGGCAGATCCGATGGAAGATCCAAATAGAGTAACTTGGAAGCTAGAGGACAACCGTCGGTAGCTTCAGGACACGGACCCACGGCCAAAGTCTTGAACGGACCAGTCCAGAGGAAAGACAACTTAGCCTTGAGAACCTTGCCATCTGTGCCTGAACGAACACCTTGGCGAATGGTAGATTTGGTGTTGTACACCCAAACCCATCCACCGACGGTGCAAGAGGGAACCTTGCGCAAAGCATCCGATAGAGCGGAGTTACGCCGCGCAATCCGCGAAACGGACAGAGGTTGTGCTGTTCACGAACTAAATTGTTAGAACGACGTTGGCGATCAGCAGCAAGATCGCAATACTCAAGTTGATCGCGATGCAAGCTTTGGTGGCCTCGAGCAAAAAACCAGGAGAAGACACCGAGACAGACAGAGAAATAACACCACCACAATTCACATCACCGCTGGGACGCTGATCCGAGACCAGCTATGACAACCAGGAGGGGCTGGGCCTATACGACCTGTGCACCGTGGGTATTGTCATGCGCCATGTGTAACCTGGCGGCGGGTGTTTTTGTGATGTTGAGTGGGTCCAACCCACAGCTCCACAACGGCAGACCGATGATCACAAATAAACGAACACACAACATAACACACCTTCCCATGTCCAGATCACACCTACCATCGAGAGAAACCGTCGAGCGGGTGAGGGCCTCCTGCTGTTGTGCGTTATCCGAAGGGTTCCCCGTGGTTCAGGTTGCATACTTGCGCCGCGCTACAACTGACTGTCTTCGCAAAACCCGTGCCCTGCCTGCTGTTGCTGCTGCTGGGTCGGTTCCAGACGCCCGGATGTGCGTGTTTGCGCCCGCACAGCGGGAAGAATTAACATTTTGTTTCTTCGTGGGTGTGTGCCTGTGCATCAATGGAAAGAAACAACCGCATGTACGTAACGTGCAAGATATTGAACGCTGGGGCCGCACATGCATCCATCGTCGCTCGTCCCGTCGCACGCCTATCCCTCTGGTATACGCGTAGCTGCATCACAAACAAACGATTCACGCTGCTGTGTGTCGGGATTCGCGCACCATCATCATGTAGTGGGATTTGACCCCTTCCTTCAGAATCAAGCACCTCTGTGCTGTCTGTGTGGAACTCTTGTCCGACCACAGGTGCAGGTTGTTGCTTTCCGTTGCGGAGGAGGAGGCGGAGGACAGGAAGCGCGCGGCGGACGAGGAGCTCAACGCTGTGAACGAGGCAAGTACTCAATTGGAGGAGCAAATCCTCCAGCTCACGCAGAAACGAGAGCAGAAACGCGCGATCAAGGTCGCGTGTGCCGAGAAGGCCACCCCCGCTGCTGCGGCTCAGGCCAGCGTCGCGTCAATCATCTGAGGCTAGGAAGCATCCTGCTGGTGGGGGACACGTTTCGTGCCTTCTCAGTTTGGTCGACAGCGTACGGTTGCATCCCATATATATTTCATTTCGTAGAACTTATTACGTGTATCCCTGCGTCATTACGGTGAACGTGCGAGAGCGCGCACAGGTCGGAGTGATCGCACAACAGAAAATATTCTATCTACTTGATTATTGTCTTTGCACAGGAGGAGGGAATATCGAATTGTGGCACAGGGGTGCAATGACAAAAACCACGGAACCCAGCTGTCAGGCGTGACTGCGTGGCCATCGCGCGACTGGGTCTCGCAGCACTTCCTGAGCTGGAATGGTGAGCTTTTGTTTTGTCTCGCGGTAGTCACCATGACTTCATTCACCGGTGCTGCCGTGTGTGTGTCGGTGCGCACGGACAATGTAGAAAAGACCCGAACTTCAATGAATTTGTCGCCGAACGGAGAGTTCTTCTCAACCGAGCACACAAAGGCAAGGGACAAGTGCCGCCAATCGAACCATCCACGGTCGCCGGAAAGGGAATACAAAAGCGATGGAGAGGGCAACCGCATCATCATCATTCAACTTTTAACTGCACAAAGCACCCAAACTAACTCACTATTCATTCAAACAGTGTGCTGCCTACCCATTTGCATGCTGCCTGCATGGCGCACAGCAGCAGCACCAACACAAACGAATAACAAGCCCACAGTGCACCATAGCATAGCTATATATAAAACTTGCCGAATATTTACTAATATAAGTACTACCGGACTGCTGGTCGCCCCGGTGATCAGTAGAGCGTCAATTCGTACACCCACTACAGCACTAGCAGCAGATTGTACATGTCTCTTGAGTGAACAAACAAATATATACGATCTACTTGAACAATTTTTGACTACTCCTCAATAATACTGCTGTTGTTGTAAAGATACTTCATTCATTCGTGAGGGGATGGAGGAATTGAATATATTGATCACACACCCTCTGTTGAATACGCAACGCTGGAGCTGGAGTTCGTGCTTTACATCCTGACAGAAATGTGCCATTCAAACCCCTTGTGGGTTTCACTGCCGCCACCGCGAGCGGCGACCTGCTTGCTGTATTATTATGCTACTGCAGATAGATCTCTCGTCCTACCGGGATTGTCCAAGAGGGGGTGTCCGTCGCCCAAGCATTCACCGATACTCCGCTCGTCTCCTGCCAACCCCTATTTCGCCTCCATGGCTTCTTGTGGAACTCCCATGCTTTGTCTCATCTATTATCTGCATCGTGCGTAAATAAGCGCAAGCAATAAATAAGATCGGGTTCTGTCCGCGTTTTCATGCGCGCGGCCTTGATGTTGTTGTAGAGGTTGGACGCCCCCGGGCTTTTGTCTTACCTAAAACTTTCTTTCCGGCTCCCCGTTTGGATGGCACAATGTCAGCGCGGCGTTGGCCTCCCGCCTCATACTCGTCTCCTGCAAGCTCCGTCTCGTACTCGTCTCCTCAAATGCATAAGAAGAAACAGTACATTTCGTGCAATGCTTGGGGCTCCGCAAGTGCAGAGATTCCCACAACATGACACAATCATACACCTCTTTATTTATCTTCTGCGGCCCCCCCGTGAATCTCCGGCCCCTGGCGGCGTGACACACACACCTTGCTGCTTTGCTGTTGCCTCGGGCTCATCACACACGTGCACCGCCAGTAGCACGATGATCATCCCGGTGCGATGCTTCACATGCGGTAAGGTAATCGGAAACAAGTGGGAGACGTACTTGAGCCTGCTGCAGGCGGACTACAACGAGGGAGATGCGCTGGACGAGCTCGGGCTCAAGAGATACTGCTGCCGACGAATGGTGCTCACTCACGTAGATCTCATCGAGAAGCTGCTCAACTACAACTGTGAGTGCCCCTAGGGACAAATCTTCAAACAGTAAGCGCAGGCGGGAAGTAGATACGCTGGGTGTCTGTGTACAGGAACGTGGCGTTTAAAATGTGCTGCCCGTTTGCATATCCACCTGTGTCCGCACCGCTACCGCTGCTGTTACACGACCTTTACACCTACCCCATGCTTCCGGCCTTGGGAGAACAGCAAGTAGGGCTGCCTAGCTGGTAGGTACAAGCATGCTTCGTTGTGCGCCGTACGGAGGGCGTACGGGCACATGGAAGAGGTACCCGACGCCGAGTCCAGTCCAGCACTTGTGTTGGGTGCGCCGCTCTTTCTGTAGACCCTCACGGAGTTGATGTTGGACCGCCCGCCGAGTGCGGCTTATGGCGCGCGACCCATAACACCAGAGCATCAGTAGTAAACGTCTGTAAATGCGTAGCTTAGGTGTTGGTGATCATTGGGCTGAGGTCAGGGCTGCAGCTAGTTTTCTTTGGGTCCTGAATTCCCAGCACCATACAAATGTTTCGCCCAGATTGGGTACCGTGGGTAACATGACACAAGATATCACACCCCCTGCACCGATTTTCAAAGCTCGACTACTGCTGCACTGCTGTAGTCAGGTAAATCACGTACACGTAGAGGATGCAAAATTCAAAACGACCCATTTACGAACAGCTCTCGACGAGGTGGGGTCAATGACGCCGTTTTCGGCACCGGCGCTCTCCCTGCTGCGGAATCGCGCTATGACATTCGATCCAGGGGGTGTGGTACCTTACGTCACATGGTTGCGGAGCAGAGCACCTGACGGACAGACAAGCAATTCGCGAGGGTATTCTCTGCACAGCCGAACAGCTCGTCGAATGCTGCGCGCGCCATGCTTGTCGGGCAAAGACTGCCTCTAACAAAGATACAATCACCATGTTGCCGAAATTTTTGCCACAGGTGTGATCGTTGTAAGCCTTTGCACCTATGCGTAGCTCCTACCCATACAGCAGCAGTGTAGCATCAGATGCTGTGACGAGTGATGCTCCCGCTGGTGGAGTTTACATGATGCGCACCCACACACCCACAAAGCCCTGTCCTTCAACAGGGAAATGAGAAGTAATTCCCTTACTCCCCGTGCCGTTTTCTTCTTCCGCCCTTGCCCTCCTCGACGATCAGCACTGGAGCGGAGAACAGGGCCAGAGACAGACTAGGACACCAGCTTTTTTCGGGCTGAGAAGAGAGGATGGAGTGGAACAGTAGACCGATCGAAGCTGAAAGGGGGGGGGGAGTTTCATTGACGGTGGTGGTGGGCCTCTACTTTGCTTCACTTCCCTTGGACGGTCTGTTGGCGTGTGGTGGAAGTGACATGCACGTTGTCGGGAGCTTCAGTCATCATGTTGCTTTGGTTCGCTGTGAGGCGTCCAAGCTCATCTTGGTGTCTCTTCGCACGTCCGAACTTCTGTGACCTACCTGGTGCTGTGCTACAATAGTCTGGAGAGTGTGGTCCACCCCACGGACAAACCCATGTTGGGGGATGATGTAATTCGCTTGTAAGATATATTCGTGCGTTTTCGGTGCATGTTTCTCGAGCGGTTTTCTCGCCTGTTGTTTTTTTTTGTGTCTAGCCAATGCGTTTTTTTTTTTGGTGCGGGCCTGAATCAACTTGGGCGCGGGGCGCGCCTTCAATGCCGGGAGTGCATAGGTGCTGACACAATTGGAAGAGTTGGCTGTTGGCATCATTTTGTTTGTCTCTGTTGTCTATTTGTCAATGTTTTGTTTTGTGCTGAAAAACTAGATGGAGTTCTCAACTATTTGTGAAGACAAATACAACAACACCCTTTCGAGCAGGGCAACTTTTTTCTATTTGTCTGCGACCACGGGTATCGCTGAATCTGGCGTGGTTTTGTCGTTAAAACGTCCTGGAAGCACCCCGGGGTGTTCAGACTTTCGGACTCCAACGCGAACCACGTCGCACCACGCTTGGCACTTGCAAGCGCTTGCTGTTTCGGTTTCATCCCCAATCGGGAACCAAGAGACGAAAATATTTCTGAGAACAACCTCCTCTCCCAGACAAGGCGCGGTCACGGCCCCACTACCTCATCGCGTGATCGCCCCGCTCGGCCGTCACTTTTCTTTCCACTGCATGGCTGTGGTTGTTTTCCTCGTGGCACGCGTGTACGTACTGCGGGTAGCAATTGGGGACACAGATTGGGCGGGGATCTATTTCGGCGTGTTTCCTCTTGCGTTTTTTGGTGTACGAAGAACGTGGTACCTATTTTTCGGACGACGATGTGATGTTCGAAGGGCTGTTGCAACCAACATGGTCCATCAGGCTGGTCTGGTGCCGGGGGCATTGTTCTTTTTTCCTTTCACTTTGAAGCAGCCCTCACAGCTTTTCTGCCGCGTAGGCGCTCGTATCCGTGTTCACAAAGAAGGGTTCCTCCCCCTGGGGCCCCCTACCCACCCCTCCTGCGTCGTGCTTGCCTTCGGTTCTTGACGCGAGCAGAGTACAACAAACTCTTTCCACGCTCTGTCCTGTATAATACAGAACATGCCGTGATCGACAAGGATTACCACATTACCACACATGGATGTGCTGCTTGGGTGGGAGCGAGTCCGCTCAAGACGTTTGCGGCTGCATCCCTCCCTCCGTCGAGCGTCCCTGCTCTTTCTTTTTTCCGACTTTGCTCTTTTTTCGAGTTTGACCTTCCCAACGTCAAGATATACGAAACAACACGTACGAAAAGGATGCCCTATTTTTTTACACGATATCGTCCCAGACCACACTCTTGTTCTACAACCACAGGCTCCTCAGCGAATAACACTCTCTTCCATTCTAACTCATTCGGGCATGACGGTATTATGACCTTTTGAGTCCACTCTTGGGAGTTCCATGTGAGGCCGGCCCTTTCCACAGCGGCGCTCAGGCAAAATTGCGCCCTCTCTGGCGTTTCGCAACTCTACAACAAATTCGTTGACATCGGGACGTAAGGAACACAAGTGACAACGTGCCAAACGGCCTCTGCTCGACAGCGCAGGGAAATTTACAGGAATCTCGTTACGAAAGAGCGGGCGCAAAGAACATAAACCACTCGCCCGCACAGCATGGGTGCATCAGAAGCCAACACATTAAGGCCCCGCCATGATGCGCATCCTCTCTCGTTCTACAGCGCGAGAGGGGTCCATCCACATGCATGCGCCGCCACACGAGCACTGCTCTCTTTCTAGCTTTAGGTTGTACATCAGAGCGCGCAAACTCGATGATGACCCTGTTACATCTGGGCGGGGAAACACTCCGCGGAACAGTGCGGTACGCATCGAAGTCGGTCGGCACACACAGTCCCATCACATTCGAACACGCGTAGTGTTCACTTCATCAGGCAGCGGCAACACGCATCTTTCTCGACCACGAACTACATTGGACACTGGAAAAACGAAAGGCACCGGCCGCCAGACAACACAGCTGTCCAACCCTGACGACCTCTACTTCAGGACGTGCCCCCCCCCCCCCCAACCCCCCCAAACCCCCAAAACCACCCCTTAAAACAATATTGTATTTTCTTTTAACCCCCCCTTTTATCTTAATCCACCCCGAAAAATAAAGGTCAACTATTTTAATTGTCAATCCCTACGGGGCCAAAAAACAAGGGGGAACACCGGTCCATTTTGGCTCTCACCGGAACCTGGGAAAAAATGGCCCAAGAATTTTTGCGCCGGGGGGGATTTTAATATTTTTACCGAAAAACCAAAAATTATTTTGCCCCCCCCAA